CCCAGTAAAAATGTTACTGGGCAAGGTCATCTTTTTACTGGGCAAGGTCTGGGCAAGGTTATTTTTTTTTACTGGGCAAGGTCATTTTTACTGGGCAAGGTCAGTTTGTTATTGGGCAAGGTCATTTTTTTACTGGGCAAGGTCATTTTTTGCTGGGCAAGGTCATTTTTTACTGGGCAAGGTCATTTTTTTACTGGGCAAGGTCATCTTTTTACCTGGGCAAGGTAATTTTTTTTTACTGGGCAAGGTCATTTTTTTACTGGGCAAGGTCATTACTGGGCAAGGTCATTTTTTTTTACTGGGCAAGGTCATTTTTACTGGGCAAGGGCATTTTTTTACTGGGCAAGGGCATTTTTACTAGTGAAATATTTTCTTAATGTTGTGGGATTCTTCGGGCGGGTGGGTATTTTTCTGGAGTAATAATTTCTTGACTAATGAATGCTTGGACTTGAGATGCTGAACCCTAAACCCTAAACTCTAAACCCTAAACTGTAAACCCTAAACCCTAAACCCTAGACCCTAGACCCTAAACCCTCAACCCTAAACCCTAAACCCTAAACCCAAAAACCCCCTAAACCCTAAAACCCCCTAAACCCTAAACCCTAAACCCTAAACCCTCAACCCTCAACCCTCAACCCCCTAAACCCTAACCCTAAACCCTAAACCCTAAACCCTAAAACCCCCTAAACCCTAAACGCTAAACCCTAAAACCCCCTAAACCCTAACCCTCAACCCTAGACCCTAAACCCTAAAACCCCCCAAACCCTAAACCCTAAACCCTAAAACCTCCTAAACCCTAAACCCTAAAACCCCCTAAACCCTAAACCCTAAACCCTAACCCTAAATCCTAAACCCTAAAACCCCCTAAGCCCTAAACCCCTAAACCCTAAACCCCTAAACCCTGAACCCTAAACCCTAACCCCCCCTTAAACCCTAAGCTAAACCCTAAAACCCCCTAAACCCTAAACCCTCAACCCTAAACCCTCAACCTTAAACCCTAAACCCTAAACCCTAAACCCTAAACCCTAACCCTAAACCCTAAAACCCCCCAAACCTTAAAACCCCCCAAACCCTAAACCCCCTAAACCCTAAACTGTAAACCCTAAACCCTAAACCCTAAACCCTAAAACCCTAAAACCCCCTAAACCCTAAACCCTAAACCCTAAAGCCCCCTCAACCCTAAACCCCTAAACCCTAAACCCTAAACCCTAAACCCTAAACCCTAAACCCAAAAAACCCCTAAACCCTAAACCCTAAAACCCCCTCAACCCTAAACCCCTAAACCCTAAACCCTACACCCCTAAACCCTAAACCCTAAACCCTGAACCCTAAGCCCTAAACCCGACTCGTGGCACCCAAACGAGCGTGGGGCTCGTTTGGGTGCCAAGATCCTTGAAATTCACCCTAAACCCAGCCACTTCCAAGCTGCACGCGGCACTTCCCGGCACTTCCAAGCTGCACGCGGCACTTCCAAGCTGCGCGCGGCACTTCCAAGCTGCACGCGCTCTGAAAGCCCTGGGCGGCCACCCATTTCGAAGTTTCCGGAATCCGAAAGCTTGAAAATACGTGGTAAAAACCAATGAAAACAAGACGTGTGTGCGGCCTGGACGCGGGAAAGACCGTGATTTGCTGTGTGCGCCTTGGACGCGGACATGCGTGCGGCTTGAAAGGTCCGGCCGCGGAAGGATGGGCGCACCGAGGAAGCTGAAGCCATATGCCCCAATGCGGTCCGCTTGCAGACGCTCGCTTCAGAGCAGGGCTTCGGGCTTTCTGCACAATGCAAGCCGACTGGACAGCCCATCTACTCCTGGGTGAGTCCACAGGGGAGGTCAGGCCTGATCGATTACATCGCATACCCGCTGCCATGGAAGGAATGTGTCAAATCTCTGGGCAATGTCAAGCTTGGAGACCTACACGAAGGCATTGACCACATGCCGATCCTCTGTGAGCTCCGGTGGAGCGCGCATGTTAATCATGTGGCCCACAGACCGGTCACCGAGGCGCAGCTAGCGCTACCGGAGGCGGCCTCCGCCATTGCAACTGCGTTCCAGACCCTACCTCAAGTCCCTTGGGAGACCGATGCGACTACACATGTCTCCATTGTACAGGGCCACTTGCAGCATGCGCTACAAAGGCTTCTGCCTGCCGCACCTATGCAAGCTCGCCACCCAGCTCTGAGTCAGGACACCCTTGAACTGATCAGGGCCAAGCGAGCGATTCGCAGTCGAATGCGGAACCTGCAACAGCGAATGCAAAAAGTCATCCGCATGCGCTTTGTGCACCGGTGGTGCATCGCAGCACGGCTACGGCAGGACCCGCCTACTTCCGCCTCGCTGTGGCCCATCCGTAAGGGATGGTTGCAGTGGTGGTCTGAACTCAGACGCACCGACAAACAGCTCACCACTGCCTTCCACCAGGACAAGGCCTCATATGTAAGGCAAATGTATGATAGGGCTAGGACAAGTTCTGCCGATTTCGCGCACCTCATCAGATCAGTCCTAAGGACAGGGCGCAGATTCAAGATCCCCTCTCTTGTGCCCGTCCTTGAAGAGGGACGTGAGGAACCCGTCATCGGCAAAGATGCGGTCCTTCGCACGTTCGCACTACACTTCGGCAGCGCGGAGCGTGCCCGACCTACAGCGGCCAGCACGTGCCTTCTTCGGGCCAACAGGTTGCACCCACTGGCACGACCACTTGCCGCAGAAAACATTCCATCACTTGCCAGGCTCTGCAGGGCATTTGCCTCATTCACCCCCAAGAAGGCTCCCGGGCTTTCAGGACTGGGGACCACCATCTTCAAAGCTGCACCACACCAGGCTGCCCTCGCTTACATGCCGATTGCTTGCAAGGCTGTCATCAAGGGGACGGTGCCGCTGCAGTGGTCAGGGGGACGCGCCACACCAATCCCCAAACCCGGAAAACCACCCGGGTCTTTGAGTGGGTGGCGCTCCATCCTTCTGCTGGAGTCCGATGCAAAAGCACTCCAAAAGTCAATGCGGGGCTCGCTCGTGGCTGCAATGGAGCGCGGTCGCGCTATAGAGGCCAACATGGAGGGATTCCGGGCCATACCCTCGCAATGCCGGCCGCTGCAGTCCGTGCACACTCCTTGCACCTGTACCACTCAGGGGGCTCCGGGGGCGCGATCTTCGTAGACAGTGCCTCCGCCTACTACGCCATTGTCAGAGATTTCCTTGCCATCCCTGCACCGGAGAGCTTGCCTGTAGAAGAACTGCAGCATCGTGCTGCTGCGCTCTACCCCGATGCCGACCAGCAGGCGGCATATGTCCAGGCCATGCGCAAAGGAAACATCCTCGAAGCCCTGCAAGCCCCGGAGGAGACATGTCGATTTGTGACCGCTCAGCTCCGGGATACTTGGTTCATCACAGACAGGGGGCAGGAACTGATGCGAGCAGAATCAGGCACGGCGCCGGGCTCGCCGATTGCAGATGCCCTCTTCGGCATCGTGTACGCCAAGGTGCTCTGGCGCATTCACCAGCGCTTCGGCGATGCGGGTTTGACCGCGACCATCAGCCACGCTGGCCAGACTGCGTCGGCTGGCGAGCCTACGTGGGCTGATGACTCCGCATTCCTCTTTACATCACAGAATGCGCGCGCAGTCGCTGGCGATTTGGCCACGGCAGCACGAATCATCTGTGAAAGCATCAAGAGCATCGGACTCACGCCCAATTATGGGGCCAACAAAACAGAGGCAGTTTTGGTCTGGAGAGGCCCACACAGCCGTGCAGCCCGTAGGGATATTCTCTGTACCAGCGAACCGGGCGTTGACTTCACAGCAGATGGCAGTAGCCATCGGATCCGTGTGGTCCCCTATTATATACCTCGGCAGCTTCATCCGAGGAGATCTCCGCGAGGGCCCGACCATTGGGCATAGACACGGCCAAATGCAGGCCATCTTCCAGCCCCTCAGGAAGAAACTGCTGTACAACCCTTGCCTCACGATCGCAGAAAAGCGGCGGCTGTTGATGGAGCGGGTTTTCCCGCGCTACCTCCACGGCGCGGGACTCTGGCGGCTTCAAACCGGCAAGGAACAGGACGGCGCTATCATGCCGCTGGCACAGGCCATTCGATCCGCCGTTCGCCCGATCCTCGGCTTCACCAGCGAGGGCCTTGATCAGACGGAAGCATGCGCAGCGCTCGATATCCCGATCCCCCAGGAGCTGCTAAGGGGGGAACAGCTGCGGGCATGGACCGAGCTTGCTCGTGAAGCTGACGCGTTTACATGGCTGGCCCTATGTGAAGATGGAGTGTGGATGCAACAGGCGTACGACGCGAGCGAGCCCATCCTCCGCGGCACCGGCCTGACACTTCCGCGACCGCAAGACGCGGGGGCATGCAGGACATTCGCCATCCAACACAAGCAGGCCCTGCGCAACGCGATTCGCGCCTATCTGAGGCGCCAAGTCGATGCCCGCGCAGCACAAGGCAGACAGGTCCGAGGCTCCAGGGACCTGTGGCAGAGGCCACCCGCCGTCACAACCATCTCGCTGGTTGATGACCTGCGAGACCTGCAACGCGTCTTTCATAGACGCACGGCGGTTGGCTGTGCATCGGGCAAAACAGCATAGATGCTGGTCAGGCGCAAGGCAGGCGGCTTTTGGCACCCGCTGCGAGATCTGTACAGTGGAATTCTGGACCCGTACGAGGCTCCAGGAACACCTTCGCAGAAGCGCACTCTGTCTCGCTGCATATGCGGCTTCGGACCTCACTACAGCAGAGGAAGTAGACAGAGTGCGTGGTAGGGCCGAGTACGCCTGGAGGCCGGCGACAAAGGTCGCAGGGCCCCAGCCTTGGTGGGCGACACTACGCCCGGCGCTTTAGCCGCCACGTAGCCGTTCCACCCGACTTTTTCCGCCCGCTAAGCTTTTGGCTACTGCCGCTTGGGCTGCAAGGAATCCGCTTCGCACCGCAAGGTTCTCGACCGTCCCGTTAAAACCCTAAACCCTAAAACCCCGCCCATTGTGCAGTTGAGAGCCTCGCAGGCTCCAAATGGCCTCGCTGCCTCCACCTCTTCGAGGCCTTTGCTTCGCGGTTTGGGATGTGGGGTTTGAAAGTTTGGGCAGGTCTAGGGGTCTAGGGGTCTAGGGTTTAGGGTTTAAGGTTTAGGGGTTTAGGGGTTTAGGGGTTTAGGGGTTTAGGGTCAGGGTAAGGTTTAGAGGGCCTCCTTGAGGCTTTGTGGGGGTTTTGAGGGGTTTTGGTGATTGGAGTTCGTTGTAGATTGGGCTGCGTCGATCAGAGCAGGTGGTAGCGAGCTTCTTGTGTTTAGGGTTTAGTGTGTTTATAGGGCTGAATATGGTTTGGAATGTACGGGCTTGCGATGCTTGAGGCGATGGAGGTTAAGTGAGGGTGAGGGCTCCATGCAGGAGATTCCGGCACGCACCTCCCGGCCACCGAACTTCATCTCATACAGAGCCACTTGGATGGGTTAGGGTTTAGGGTTTAGGGTTTAGGGTTTAGGGTTTAGGGTTTAGGGTCTAGGGTCTAGGGTCTAGGGTCTAGGGTTTAGGGTTTAGGGTTTAGGGTTTAGGGTTTAGGGTTTAGGGTTTAGGGTTTAGGGTTTAGGGTCCCTGCAAGATTTGTTTGCTGTGCCCTAAACAGAATCGGTGGATCCAGGCTGGCCACTGCAACAGGTGCTTCTAAAACCCGATGCTGGCTTCTTTCGAGTCGCTGGTCACAAAGCCAAACATGACTACAAAGCTGAAGGAGCTACAGAGAAAATGCTGCAACAGTTCCTGTGGAGGCCTGCCCTGCCCGTGACACTTGCGGCTAACACATCTCACAAGTTCATACCCTAAACCCTAAACCCTACACCCTACACCCTAAACCCTAAACCCCAGCGCCGGTGCAACATGAGACCTTCCCTCGACGACCTGAGGTGATGTTGGAGGACTGCTCAGCTGTACGCCTTTGGGAAGGCCTGGAGCAACCGAACCTGGAGGTTGCAAAATCCCCCCCTCCCCCCCCCCCCCAAACCCTACACCCTAAACCTTAAACCCTAAAATTTGAGCTCTGCGGAATTGATGTGGGCGTTTACGAAAATAGGGAAGACCCCCCAAATAGTAGGATCCCAAGAAATATGGGGTTGGTCAGCTGCAGTGGCCTAGCTCAGGCATTCAACCCTACGGTCCGCGAACAATGCCAAAACCACGAGCAACCTGAAACCCTAAACCTCCAAGCCCTATTGCCCGAATATAGGGGTCGGAGTGATTACCGATAGTATTCCCTTCTGGTCCCAGTATACATGTACTATAATACACCCCAACGACCTACTCCAGTTTTTAAGGCCCTAAACCCTAAACCTTAAACCCTAAACCCCAATATGTCAAGCCCAACAAATCGCTCCAAGTCAGGGAGACCTGGGCTCCGCCAGGTGCCCTGGCTTTGCAGGCCGCCGCGCCGGCGAGGAGCGGATGAGGGTGTAGGATTTACGGTTCAGGGTTTGGGGTTTAGGGTTTAGGATGTAGGGTTTAAGGTTTAGGGCTTAGGGTTTAGGGTTTAGGGTTCATAGGTAATAGGGTAGTAGGGTTTACGGTTTAGGGTTTAGGGTTTAGGGTTTAAGGGCTTCATGGTCTGGGGTTTCATCATCGGGAAACTACGGATAAACCCTAAACCCTAAGCCCTAAGCCCTATAAACCCTAAACCCTAAGCCTAAGCCCTGAACCCCTAAAGACCCCGGAACTGCACTTACGAGCTGCAAATTGATGCCCAAGCCGCCCGGTGCTCGGTATCCAGGACACGCGCAAAGCTCCTCCGAACATGAGGCGCATCGACGGGTAGCTTGGTTGCAGCTGCCTTCGTTTTGGGGAAGAATCGTTTTCTTGCGTGAGCGTCCTGCGTGCATCTGGCAGTGCTGCGTAGAGCCATGCTTGCTCGTTGAGTGCTGTGCAGTGTGCTCATGCGGTATTTGAAGGCAGAGCATGATGCCTGATGGAGCATGCGTGAGGATGCACGAGTATACCTGTTTGCGCGTGCGTTTTCTTTCCATGCTGCCACCTGCACTAGTTTCGGCACAACGTATCTTCTGCGCAGAAGTTCGGAGCCTGCCAGGTCATGGACACGACTGTGATGGACTGTGGTGGCAACTGGGGCAGGTCAGTCATACCAAAAAGCATAAGGCAGCAGGTGATGTTCAACCAGCAAATCTCGTCTTCTCTTCTCGCGCTCTTTCTTCCATATCCCAAGCCCAAGAGACGTTTTGCGTGGAAGGGCTGGTGTGCAAACTTTGGGATGGAGAGTTCTTGTCTTCGGGAGTTCAACCATGTCAGGTTTTGAGGCTTCCAAGCACCCAGGCCAACGACTCCTGCACAGGATTCCCTTTAAGTGTTGTTTGATCTGGGCCCTGCATTGCGGGTGCTTAGAGCAGCCACAGCCATGCTGCTAGCAACAGGTGCAGTAACTTGCAGTAAGGTGCATGGCACGCCGGGCAACCTCTCACTCACTGGGTCAGAGCTTCTGCTTTTCCGTCATATTGTTGTTGAGTTCTCGCCCCAAGCCAAGTCCCCCGAGCCAAGAGGGCAGATACGAAAGGCTTGTTTGGATCAACGGAGTGTCGAAACGATTGCTATGCCCTGCAGGAACTTTTGTGGGAACTGGGTTAAATCATGTCCCTAAGAAGACCGCCAAGCGAATTCACCATAAAACCTACAAGCCTACAAGAACCCCCGCCCCTCTGGAGGAAGTCCTGGCAGACGCCATATTGCACAACTGGTCCTGATCAAGATGAGCTGCGCAACTGTCTGTGTCATGGCGCATGGCCACTTTGCGACTTCTGGATTCTCTCCGAGATCGAGATGACATCCAGCTCGACTGTGATATGTGCATCCTGAGCATACTGTGCGGCAAGCGCGGGCTGTCTGGCAGTGGCTACGGTGCAGTGAGGTCTTGAGGTCTCCTGTTCCCGTGAGAGGCTTGTGAGCATACTGGAGGTTCTGGGGAAGAAGGCTAGCTCTGAGTCTACTAAATGCTTCAGAACCCCCCAAAAAATAGACAAATATTCTTCCTTATAAGGGTAATATAGGGATGATAATTCTTCATTTTTCCGGGGTTCTTAAGCAAATAGTGTTCGTGTGAGTGCTGAGAGTCGATGACTCAGTATGACTCATGCTTATGCTTGAGCGAGGGCTCTCACAGACTGGTGTTCGCAGTCATCGTTGGAACAGAAAGTGCCGAAGGAGTGTGGGAGAGACAGAGACAGCAAGAGGGGGGGAAGCCTTTCCATCCCTACAACCTCTGAATAAGAATAGGAAGAGAGAGAGAGGGAGAGAGAGAGTCAGAAGAGAGAGTTACAAGTTCTTAAGTGGGAACTCGCCTGCGTAGGAATTTCCAGAGTCCTGGATATGCAGTTGTTTTTTCCGTATGGCCACAGCAGTCGCACTCCAGAATTGGGAGGACCTTTCCTGGAGACTTGAGGTTATGGCCTGGTTTAGGGGAAGGTATTTTCTTTCAGCTTGGGGAACAACTTTCATCACGACATCGCAACCTGCTGGTGGGTCTAAGCGCTGCATATTGCAGCCTCATCTGTGATCCGTGCGAAGCTGCATCTAGCCGCTATTGATGACACGATCTTGCCATTCGATCCCGCAACCCTAACCCTCAAACCCTCGAACCCTCGAACCCTAAACCTGAAACCCTAAACCCACAACCCTGACCCTCAAACCCTAAGCACGCAAATCGAACCTGGAACCTCAACCCCGAGCAGCCGTTGTTGCCTCAATTTGTGCGCTGAAGACGTGAAACTCAAGCAGCCCGAAGTGCTGGTCAATCAGACACGTCAATCTCTTTTTTGGGGGAAGCTTAGAGAACTGAACGTACGAGCCCCAAACCCTCAGATTCATAAGCTCAACCGTACTGCGCTTAAGCAATCAAGCCCTGCCTTACCCAAAGGATCCATGTACCTATATAGTATATACTTGGGCCCTAAAGCTACTATATAGGAACCCCTTTAAGGCTCGAGTATATACTAAGTAGGTACATTGGATCCTTTGGGTTAGCCTTCTTAAACACTACGCTAGATGCCGTACAGGAAATGCGTGGCTTCGGCACGAGGGTTTTAAGACTTGGGGTCAAGAGCGTCAGTTACAGATCAAGCTAACCCACAAACCTCAATCTATTATAGGGGTCGGAACGGAATACTTACGATAATGGTATTCCCTTATGGTCCCTTTATAGTTATACAAAATACCCCCCGCCCCCCACAAAAAAAATATTCTGATTATTAATGACCCTATATTACACACCCCTAAACCCTAAACCCTAGACCTAAACCCTAAGCCCTAACCCTAAAACCTTCACCCTCAACCCTCAACTCTCAACCCTCAGCCCTCAACCCTCAACCCTCAACCCTAATACCAAACCCTAAACCCTCAACCCTATCTCGAATCGATTCGCTGGGCCTCCGCGACCACGGGGCCATGCCGTGGCCGCGGCGCCGTGCGCGATGTGGCGCTGGACGCTGTGTCTGTCGGCGCTCGCTGTCGAACCTTGGTCCCTTTGAGTAGGGTTGAGGGTTTAGGGTTTTAGGGTTTAGGGTTTGGGGTTTGGGGTTTAGGCTGTTGGGACAATCTTCCGAGTCTAGGACTTCTGGCTACACTCCACATTGGAAGTCCTAAGACTCATGCTGCGGCTCGGGTCTCGGGTTTGGGCGATTTGGCGTGTACGTGGAAGCTGTTCATTCTTGATTAGGCCCAGGCTGCTCTGCTGCGGGCATCGCTCGAGGTCCGGCTGAGTTTCCGGAGAGCCTAATTATCGGTTTTATATAGGGTTAGAGTGGAAGGTTAGGGTTGGGAGGTTTGGTGTTCGGGGGTTCAGAATATGTTCTGCTCGCGCATTGGGCATTGTGTTGAGGGTTTGAGTGTTGGCTCAGCTTCGGTTTTCAGGGTTTGAAACCCTAAACCTAAACCCTATACCCGAAACCCTAAACCCTAAGTCCTAAACCCTAAGCCCTAAAGCCTTTGCTCTAAGGACAAATGCACAGTCTGGTCCTCGAAGTCCACAACCTGAACCCTGAACCCCTAATCCCACAACTTCCAACTCCAAAGCATTCAACACCCAGCAGGGTGGTTGTCAAAATGATGGTCCCGTTTTTGGATCCTATTATCATACGGCACCTAATATTTAGGGTACCCCAAAAAGGATCATAATGTTAACGACCACCCAGCATAAACACTAGAAGACCCTAATCCCCTTTAACACGATGAAGTTCTCGCCGTGAATTACGAACTCTATGGACACCACCCCTGCCTCCTGAACTTTATAGAGGCTTGGGGTTTCCAGGGGTTTAGGGTTTAGGGTTTAGGGTTTCGGGGCAAGAGGCGGCGGTACAGCAGGGTGCTCCACCGCGTTGCCTCGAGGCCCACAGCAAGTGAGGGTTGATGCCGGCTGGAGGGTTTAGTTTCAGGAAGTTTCGCCATTCATCACTTGCATTTAGCGAGGCTCAGCTACCAAAAACAGCGCACATCCCAAGCCCAAAACCTAAATCCCTCGATCTGGGTTCATGACAGAGCTGGCTGAGACCCTCTCCTGAATCTTTGGGCCCGCGCCTTTCAAGCTTTCCCAGCCGTGTGGGTGTCTGAGTTGGTGTTAGCCACTGAGAGTAACCCTCGGTGAACCTCGAACCGAGAGCCATCTAACATCAGCAAAACAAGCACCCAGCCAAGAAGACCATGACTTGGAATGTTCCCCCAACTATCATAATCCCTGCTAAAGACTGCTAGTATCAGGGGGAGCATCCCAAACCATGACCCTGGTGTAATGAAGCGTCGCAGATAGCGTTTAGGTCTTTAGGGTGCAGGGCACCCTGCCGCAGGCCACTGGGCCAAACTTCTTCCTGCTTTTCCCGCTCGCCGACGCTCAGTTCGGCCAGCCCAACTACGCTGCGCTTGAGTCGGTGCTGCGCCCTGCCTGCAGTTTCATGCTACCCAAAGAGCCCCATATCCCTTAATTAGTGAATATTGCTTAGTTTATATAGGGATGCTTAATGTGGTTTAAGGTATATTCCTGAATTAAGGGGTATTAGGCTCTTTGGGTAGTTCTCGGGCTTAGGCTAAGATTCCGCATGATTTCGGCATAATGTACCCCTTGGGATGTTCACCCTTATCTCAGCAGTCCTTCACAGGGATTAGAGTACCCCCCCCCCCCCTAGTATACACCCTACTAAGGACTCTTAGTATATGGGGGAAAACCCAAAAATGCTCCCCTAAACCCTAAACCCTAAACCCTAAACCCTAAACCCTAAACCTGTGGATCCTTTGCGGCCTCTGGGCTTGGCTGTAGACGGATCTCAGGATCCAGAGCTTTCTGTGCGCATCACCCCTAAATCAGGATTCCGAAGCCCTGAACTTCGCAGGGTTTGGGGGTTTGGGGTTTGGGGTTTAGGGTTGGTTTAGGGTTTGGGGTTTGGGGTTTGGGGTTTGGGGTTTAGGGTTTAGGGTTTAGGGTTTAGGGTTTAGGGTTTAGGGTTTAGGGCAGGTTCCACCACCCAGCAGCATCAGTGCTCATCATCGGCCTGGAGCAGGGCGCTCCCTTGTTCCAGGCATACCAGCGAGAAGGCAGGTGGACGTGGGTTGATTCCATCCCGGGTGTAGGGTTTAGGGTTTAGGGTTTAGGGTTTAGGGTTTAGGGTTTAGGGTTTAGGGTTTAGGGTTTAGGGTTTAGGGTTTAGGGCCAAGATCAGAGCTTTCTCAACTTTGGGGCTTCCTTTTTCGTCTGGGTTCGGGCTGTGGGTTTGGGGGCTTTGTGCAGTTTAGTACAGCTTGAAGCCCCCCGGCTGCGCCAACGGTGCAGGCTACTGCGTGGCAACGCTGCAGACGGATTTGCCTGCGCTGGGCAAGGATTTGTCGCTGTGGGCAACCAACATGCGTTTGCAGGTGTGAAGGTTCAGGACTTTCGGTGCTGCGCATCGCGATTGGAGTTCCATGCGAGGTATGTAGGGGTCAGGGCTAGGTACATGTTACCATGACCTACTGGACTCACAGGAAGGATATCTTTTGATGCTTGGTCGACAACATTGACATAGACTTGTATGAAGAGCCCCATGCTCACATCACAGGAGCACTGCGTAAAATTGCGGTAGACGGCCACTTGCTCCGACTCGGCCAAAAAGAAATCGAATCCCCAAATCAGAACCGTCAACCCAGCAAGGCCGTGAATGGAAACCTGCGAGGAGCTAGTCGCAGCTGTGGGAGGGGAGCACGCCTCTTCCGTGGACACCTTCTTAGAGCCTCGGCGAGAGTATACGGGCCTGAATAATTGGAATAGGGTCTTGGCAGGGGGGGGGGGGGTTATCATAGTAGAATTTACAAAGGGGTCACAAGGGAAAAAATATTGGAATTATTCCGACCCCTAAAATACATCCTGCCAGCTGATGTGGGCTGTTGGGCCATGGATGGTCTGCAGGGATTCCTAATCTTGGGATGTTGGCACCGAGTGTGGCGCTAGGCTTTGAATCTATTCTTTGGTGAAGGGCGCTCATCCTCTGATACCGGGCCTGCTCAGACTGCCACGTAAAGCCTGAAGCACTAAGCCGCGTTACAGCTCAACAGGCCCGAACGAAAGTTCCATGCCAATGACGAGCCCCTTTGCAAGAATTGCCTAAAAACCCTAAACTGCCCAACAAAACCCCTAACCTGCCTACAGCCCTAAGCTGCACCCCAAATCTCCCCGAAGGCAAGCCATGGCCAGCCAAAAACCGAAGCAGCGCTGATTCGCCTCTTTAACGCCGTGCTCCTTGCACTGCAGGCGGGTGCTGGGCGTTGTCAGCTCCATGGGGCGGGGTTCCGACATCTTGTGTGCACGTGTCCACGGATTTCTTCTGGGAGGTAGGTGCGGAGACAGGTACCGGAAAATGCGTGGCAAGCACGCTTGGGACGGCCCATTTTGGGCTTAGAAACTGCAATCATTCCAGACTCCGTGTCGTTGCCGATGGGGTCGAACTGCTGTGGCAGCAGCGTCATGAAACTTCCTGAGTGTGTACATGCACAACTGTGAGTGTGGTTGCTTTTGATTTTGCTTCGGGCTGGCTTTTCGCATGGTCCTGGCCTCTTTCTGCTGGCTGCTACGACGCGAGTACCAGCAGTACAACTTCATATATTGCGTCCAGCAGCATGTGCTTTGTTATATCAAACGAAGACTTACCTGAGCCTTGAGTTTTTGTGGGGCCGGAGAGGGCGCTTTCATTCTACACGATCACCGCATCTTGTTGGTACCACACTTGTTTCTTGTGCCCCAAGCAGCTCACAGACAGAGGGTACTCGGTAGGGGAGGCCTGATCGGTACTGCTTCCCGACTCACCTACCACAGCGCACATTGGTTGGTCGGTTGTTTTGGTTGCTCTTAGGTCCCGTTTGGCACACGGTTGTTGGCCTTGTCATTTGCATCGTAAGAACCAAATTTTTCTTGCATCGTTCAGTGTGCCAAATCGCACTCGTCCCTCAGGCCGAGCACAACTTGGCACTTCAGCCGATCGATGTCGTAAATTCGTAATGGGAATGTGCCTCGTAGCTCTTTCGACCGTTTCCATGCGAGGTTTGAAACGGTACTCCCGACCCAGTCCCATGCGCACGCTCCTTGCCCGGAGCATTGTTGTCGTGTCGTTGCTCATGCATGAGGCCTGAATCTTGAGTCGTCGTCCCCGAGGCTCCGCTTTTTCGAGCATCGACTTTTGAGTACTTCTTGGTGGTCTTCCACTGCTTGCAGTGGCATACATTGGCCCGATCTGCTATTCACACTTAAAACCTGTTTTTTTTTGTCACCTTTTTGGGAGGGAGTCGGTGGAGGGATGACCCCGCTTGGCAAATTTCATCACCTCCAGCGTGAACCTGGCGAGGTTGTGGACGGAGGCACAAGCTTACCCATGGAAGCTGGGTCTGCAAGTCAGGGCTTTGAACTTTGCCTGAGGCTTGAGGTTTCCAGCTTACATCAAGGGTTAGCGAAGGAAGAGGACAGAGAGTAGGCCGAGCGGAACAACGTCGAGAATAGACTCCCTGGTTTAGGGTTTAGGGTTTAGGGTTTAGGGTTTAGGGTTTAGGGTTTAGGGTTTAGGGTGCTGAAGCCCTTCAAGCGGGGCGGGGGGGCTGGGGGCGGGGTTCGCTTCTCTCCTTCGCTGCCCCTAAGCGGAGAGGTGGAAATACAGTAAGCGAGCACGGGCTGAAGGAGATTTCGGATTTAGGGTTTAGGGGTGTAGGGTTTAGGGCCTTAGGGTTTAGGGTTTAGGGTTGTCTATGGCCCAAGCTTTGAACTGACCCCTTTAAGCCGCATCTCGAACTTTTTAAAACCGTCTTATAACACACCGCAGAACCAGAATGAGCCTGAAAACGCTGCTTCAAGGGCAGGCGAGGGAGGCCCTAAGCCCTAAACCCTAAACCCTAAATCCTAAACCCTAAACCCTAAACCCTAAACCCTAAACCCTAAACCCTAAACCCTAAACCCTAAACCCTAAACCCCAGCCCGGCGCCTGAGGATGGCATTCTGCTGAACCCATGGGACTTTGCTTTGCCTCTGAACCTCTCTCTGCCGTCCACCGGGGTAGCTCGGCTTTGGTGAGTTTGAGGTTTAGGGTTTAGGGTTTAGGGTTTAGGGTTTAGGGTTTAGGGTTTAGGGTTTAGGGTTTAGGGTTTTAGGACGGCTTCGAGCGTCAAGCGCAGCATTCGGAGCTACTTTAGGCAGTGTGTAGGGGGTACGAGGCTCCCCCCCCCTCCCCCCCCCCAAGTTGGAGAATCATTTTAGTTCTTGAAAATCCCAAGCCCCGTGCGCTTGTAGATTCCGATCCCCAAACCCACACAATCAACTGTCTGGGATTTTTCGGGTTTAAGCCAGGTTCGGCTCTAGCTGTAAACTGTTCGCGAACAAAAAGTGTTCATGGCTCAGGCAGGGTTCAGGGTGTAAAATTTAGGGTTCAGTGTCTATTCACTGTCTTGGGTTTAGGGTTCAGCGTGCTGATCCCCCCACTTTGCTGTCGCGTTGATGCTCTTGAACCCTAAGCCCTAGACCGCCATATGGCAAATCGTAGGATCCCCTTGTAATAAGGACCCTAGAAGGTACCCCTAATGTCGGAAGCTACCGGAAGCCCCCAAATCCTTTAACCCAAGACCCTAGATATTTGCCAGGTCTTTCTCGAGAAGTTGGAAGCCACAGGCATCCCGACCATTTCTCAGATCCCTCAACCCCCCCTAAACCCTATCGCCCTGTAACTCGGTAGACCCTGGGGACATCTCGTGTTTTCCCTATTGGGTTTAAGAGGATCATGTTTAGGAATATTTTTCAGAGGGCTTTAAGGGGCCATCCTAGATAATATAGTATGGCAATCCCAGGTTATACTTCCAAATTTCGAAGACCTCTTAGAGCACCCCCATGGCCCAATATAATCGTGTTATATAATATTCGATTAGGGTCCCAACAAACTCAAAGACCTCTTGAAAACTCTATTGTTTTCGGGCGGGGCGGCCTGAAACCTCATGGCTCTTGTGTGTCGGGCTCTTTGGTATGAATGCGCCACCGTCGTTAGTTCTCTGCACAATCAGTCAGCGACTTTCAAGTACAAGATCCAGTCATGGTGCTGGCCAGATACTGCTCTCCCGTGGGCCCTTCAAGCAGAAGATTTCGAGCGCTCCTGGTTGCCCAGGCAGGGGGCAAGATTATTCCACTGTGTGATATAGGGGTCGGAATGGTTGCTGACAATATTCTCCTATGGCCCCTTTAGTTTTATACGATAATAGCAATCACCCCCAAAACCCTATTCAAATTATTCAGGTCCCTATATTGGCCTTATGTTAATCCTTCAGTTTATGTTAATCCTTCAGTCCCACATCCCCCAGTTAAGGTTCTGGTCGTGTTTTTTGGGATTGGGGTGTGTGTGTGTGTGTTACCATGAGGACCCTACACCCTTAAGCCTAAAGAATCGGGTTCTGAACAATGGGCCTCAGAGTACTACTCTTGGAGGTTTGGGGTGTTGAGGGTCAAAGGGGGGTATGTAACCCAAGGTTCCCGAATACTCCCCACTACTCCCTAAGGCTCCCGAAGCTTCCCAAAGGTTCCCTAGGCACCTACCCCCCATGAACCCCCCTTCCTTAAGAACCCTATCACAACCAGTCGGCCCAACTCTTGTGGGTTGGCGCCGAGTGCGGATCCCCAACACCCCACCCTCACGCAGTCCTACTTCCTGAAGCCGTAGAAACGGCCAACACTACCTCAAACTCTGTTCCAAATGGGTATTTCCCAAAAGAGGCGTACCCCTTTCATACCCCGAACTACAACGGAATCTCCTTAAAAGGGACCCCCAAAAGAGGTACCCCTATCTTCGGAAACCCTAAACACTAAAAACACTAGAACCCAAACGCCCTAAACCCTAAAACCCCAATGGTGCCGGGGATGAGGTCCTATTTCGATCGCTCTGACGGGGGTACCTCCGTGTGCCTCGACGCGCTGTGCCCACGAACGCTGCCGCGAGGCTCGCGGAATGGGCAAAACCATAGGGGTCGGAATACTTACTAGTAATATTCGCCCTAGGGTCCCTTTACAGGGAAAACTGTAAGAACCCCCAAAACCCTATTCTAACACAAACAAGGCCCCCAATATTGAGTCCTGCGTTCCTCTCCAGGTGTAGGAGACCAACCCTAAACCCTAAACCCTCAACCCTAAACTCGCAGTGGGAAGCATATCTTCGAACCAGATCGAAGCAGTAGAACGTCTCGCTTTGGACATCCCCAGGCTGCAGGCTTATGAGGTTCAGGGTTTAGGGCTTAGGGTTCAGGGTTTTGGGGTTTAGGGTTTAGGGTTTTTAGCAGTGATTGCGACTTTCTCTAGGATTACTGTCCTGGCCACTGGCATCTACAACCCCTAAGCGCTCTCTTTCCGCTGTGACTCAACATGTGTTGCAGGGCTTATGGGGCTCAGCCCGATAAGTAGGCACTAAAATTATGGACGCTCAAAGGCTTTGGCGTGTGTCTCCCTCAGCCCTAAACCCTAAACCCTAAACCCCAACTACACCCTTACCCGATAGCCTAAACTCGGTAGGCAGCAGCTTTGCGCGTCGACTGCTGGTGATGCTGCTGACCCCTGTCGGAAATTCCATGAGGTTGGATCCTGCACAGTCTCTGCACCTAGATCAAGAGGTTTCAAGTCCTCCTCTTTACACCTGCGGCAAAGCAAAATAGAGGCACCTAAACCCTAAACCCTAAACCCTAAACCCCAAAGCCTAAACCCTAAACCCTAAACCCTAAACCCTAAAGCCCATTCCATGGCTCTCACATGAAAACATTCGAAGGACAGGCAGACTGGAGCAGGAGGGCCTTGACATCAGCCGCTTGACGACTGAGTGCTGCCTCTGGCACCCCGGAGTCCTACACCTTGCAGTTTACCAAGGGTTTAGGGTTTAGGGTTTAGGGTTTAGGGCTTAGGGTTTAGGGTTTAGGGTTTGAGCGGCTAATCTTCCATTCAAGCAGCAGTTGTGAAATGTCTCTGGAGCTTTAAGCAGGAACCCTGCATCCTAAATCCTAACCCTAGAACCCTGAAAGCCGCAAACAGCACTGATGTGCGGGAGGCCCATTACTCGGGTGTTGTTGGTATCAGATCCTAAACCCTAAACCCTAAACCCTAAACCCTAAACCCTAAACCCTAAACCCTAAACCCTAAACCCTAAACCCTAAACCCTAAACCCTAAACCCTAAACCCTAAACCCTAAACCCTAACCTCATCAGGCCAGTATGCCACAATGCTCTACCGCACGTACGTTGGGCAGCGCCCGTCGCAGGCTCCTTTTCAGGTCGGCGATGCCCCCTGGACCAAAATGTGCCACGTTTTGAGAGGTGGTAGAATCCCCTTAGAATCCCGAAGGTTAACCTTTAGTTCCCCTAGGTACTGGACAACTAAGTTGTTGCCATGGAAGCCGGATGTTGGGAGTCGGCCTCAGAGTCAGATGCTGAAAGGGTATATCGTTCCGTGTGAAAACTGCAGCAGGACAACCCTCGGTGTTAAGTTTTAAAAGGCATGAGGACCGAATCCCACAGTTATCCGAGCAGGGTGGGTGCACAACCCTAAGCCTCACCTAAAACGTTAACATCCGTTAGCTGTTTACCCAAAGCAGGGGTTGATGGGCACCTTCCTGGATGATAGGGCAATTCCGCAATCCTGAAAGCCCCATGGCCCTCTGCCGCCACAGAACCTGAATCGAGCCGAGGTGGACTTCGACCACGAGATGGCTCCTTGCCACTGTAGTTTTTGAGTTCATAGACTCATGAACCCGAATCCTAAGCCCCCCCTGTTAGGGTTCTTTGGCCTGGGGGCTTGGGCGAGGTGCCGTAAGAAGGCACCCAAAAGGCCGACAAAGAGAGCCTCGCCTGGGCCCGAAAGCTTTAGGAAGACCTTGGAGCGGAAGCCCAGAGAGGTTCGTTGAAGGCTTACCCCGATCATTCTTAGTAGTGAATGAAGGCCCTTTATATACCCGTTCAGGGATTACATAGGGTACCTCATTCCCTCATTCCCTACTAAGAAATAGCTTGGATCATCCGCTCGTTTGCCCTACTTCGGCCTGGAATCGTCACCATATGTGGGAATTGAGGGCACCCTAAAGCCAGTGAGGGGCTGTGGGTTGGGTGGTGGCCCCGTGACACTTTGAGCAGGGAAGAAGAAAGTACATCGCCTCCGCGGGTTCTCTGCGAAGTTTTGTGCAAGTGTATTTTGTGAGGCTTCATAGCTTTCTTACCGTAAGATCCTGTAAGGGGTTTAGAATAAGAGCCTACAAAAAAGGTAGGTTTTGGGTTCGGGAGGTAGGCTTCTAGGAGGGTTCAGGCTCAGGGATGGTCAGGGTTTAGGGTTTAGGGTTTAGGGTTTAGGGTTTAGGGTTTAGGGTTTAGCGTTTAGCGTTTAGCGTTTAGGGTCTAGGGTTTAGGGTTTAGGGTTTAGGGTTTAGGGTTTAGGGTCTAGGGTCTAGGGTCTAGGGTTTAGGGTTTAGGGTTTAGGGTTTAGGGTTTAGGTTTAGGGTTTAGGGTTTAGGGTTTAGGGTTTAGGGTTTAGGGTTTAGGGTTTAGGGTTTAGGGTTTAGGGTTTAGGGTTTAGGGGCGTTGCCAAGCCCGAGGTTCTTCTTCCATATTGGTTGCACGTGCAGCCACATTTTGCCGATGGCTGGAAGGATTCGGAGATGATGGGAATTGATGCGAGTTTGTTGTTCAGGGTTCAGGGTTTAGGGTTTAGGGTTTAGGGTTTAGGGTATCTTCTTCTGCTCAGCTGTTCATCATGTCAGGCGAGGTGTCCCTCAGTGTTCAGAATCCCCACCCGAAAAGTTGGACAAGGCTCATGTAAGGAACAAGCACAGCCACACCTGCCAGTTGCTCACGGGATGTTGTGACAGAATGCTGAAGCAAAATCGGTCACGTCTGCATGACTGAGAAACCGTTTCAGGCTGTTGTTCTGACAGGTAGTGGCATCCATTCACACGACGGGCTTTCGAATGCGGATGGATGTTCATCTTCAGACGTCTTGATAAGTCATATGCAAAGCCAACGATGCTGGGTTCTGACTGTTGCCTGTGCCAACGTGTGCCCGAAGCCTCAAGCCATGCGATCGACTTCGTGCCCAAGCCCCGACATTAGAAGCTTTGACACTTTGAAGCGGGCCTGCAGTCCGTGGTCCCTTCAGCGAAAGCCTGCAAGTCCCGAGATTCTGTCTATTTCAGGAACGCGAACAGCTAGACAGCGGAATACCTGAGTCCCAAGCCCAGGAAAACCTGAACGCTAAGCTCAAAGACCACCACAAACACTAAGGCCCTGAGACCTTCCCAACCGCAGGATTACGGAGGCACTGACAGCGACCTGACACAATACTCGGACCTGTACCAGCCCAGGCGTCCCTTTGGCTGAGCGTCTCTGAATCTCCAGAAGGGTTTCGAGTTTCAGTGCCTTCGGGGCTTAGGGTTCAGGGTTCACGGATCCGAGCTTAAGGTGTTGAGCTTTCAGGAATGATATCTTGCGCGCTGCAAAACAAATTCTATAGAATGATGCATTTTCCCGGACTGCGTAGCGAGGAGTTCTTGCTTTGAGGGTTGGAGGTCGGGGAGTTTGGGCGGTCGATCCCCAAGATCGAAAGCTGCTGCCTCACCGCACGCAAGCGTTCGCGACACTTCGAAGCCGGCGTTGCGGCATCGTTTTCGTGTAATTGCGTGTCAACAAGAGCTTGCAACCACAGGCTGGTCACAGGAATCGGGTGTGTCGGGGTCGCGATCGTCTTAACTTCGCGATCCTCCTCGTTGACCTGGGAACATGAGTGCTGGGCACTTACATGCAGCGCTATTTGGGTAAGGACCCCAATAAGGTCCCCCAATTTCGGAAACCCCCATTTGCATCCATCTACAGTCTCCTGGCTACTATCTGTCCATTTGTGCTTTGGCTAGCGGAATGTGAGCACAAGGTATACGGCTTGGGCGGTAAAGGCCTCTCAGCATGTTCCTGAATGCCGCCATCCTATTGACTCTGGAACTGTTCGGTCGCACTGCCCGAAACCCCAAGCATGACGGCAGATTCTATACAAACGTCAACTCCTGACCTGCAATCCGAACTTCCTCAACGTTTTGTGGGCCAGGCACATGCGTGCCATGGCCGACTGGTCTCTCATCTCCACTGCCAGGCCAGGTTGAGGGCTTAAGCTTCAACTGGGCACACCCACATCTGCTGTCAAGATACCTGTAGCGCTACCTGCCATCCGCAAATTTTGGCCCTGTGCTGGAAACCCTATGATGCTTGAGGGTTCATAGCTAGTGAACGCGACACGAAGCTTTAACTCTAGTAGCTTCGCTGCTTAGATCTTCAGAACTCACTTTATAACGAGCACGACTGCACAACATCGTACGACGGCGACTACTCAGCAAAGCTTCTCGTGTATAAAGACACGAGAAGTGTGCATGGAAAACAATTTCATACAACCAAAACCCGCCGCCCGGTAGTGAGGAGGTTTGGCATCCGGCAGCTCCGCTACAGCTGCTCAATTAAAAGGAAGATCCAGGCCCTGAACCCAATTCCCAAACACTAAACCAGGCTCTGGCTGCCCTTGAGCTACGGCCCTGCTTCCGCGCGACAGGCCTGACAGGGTTTAGGGTTTAGGGTTTAGGGTTTAGGGTTTAGGGTTTAGGGTTCGGGGCTAACAGGGTCTGTGAGTTGGGCCAGCTGACCGTTGCAAGTGGATACTTTTTTTGGACATGTCTAAAAGTTGCTTTAGACATGAATTGCGGATGTGCCAAATGCAGTTTCGGGTGTCCAGGATTTCTAGGGTTCAGATTTCGCATGATCACGAGAATTGCTAATTATTCGGGTTCGTTGAGCCCCGCAAAGTGCCCGGCCAGCATTCCCCAGGCTCTGGCACCGTCTGAACAGACGTGAACTGTCCTCATCTGGGTGCACAGGACTACCCTGAACCCTATAAACCCCTTTAAACCCTGTATAAACCCTACAAACCCTGCAAACCCTATACCATAAACCCCAAGCCCCCGGCATGCGCAGTTCAGCATCCGTGAACCAGCAGGCGCTTCCGGGCAGCGTCGTGGACTTGGCCCGGGGCCTGAAAAAGTCATGGCACAGTACGGCCTTCAAGAGTATCAAATGTTGTTGTTTTTGTTTTTTTTTGGTTTCTTTTTTCTTTTAGGAGGGGGGGCGGGGGTTATGATAGTGTATAATTCTATAAAATAAAAACCAGAGGACCATAATGGGGCTTTGGGGGGGCAGGGGTTATGATGCTGGTTGTAATTGTTCCGACAACTTGTTGCTTGTGATCTGGACCCTGCAGGATGGAAGCCCTTTCAGGTCACCCAAAGCCATAATATTATTATTATTATGATTATTATTAATATTATTATTAATATTATTAATATTATTAAGACCATTAATCTTGATACTATTATGATGATTATTGTTATTGTGTGTGTTTGTTAATATTTTAATTATCTACAAGCCCAGGGCAGGGTGGAACTGTAAACAAAGACCACCAACAGCATGCCCCACGCAACTCGGCACTTCTCGTACGGCTGAGGGTGTCGCGCCCCTAAGCCCTAAACCCCAAACCCTAAAACCCAAACCCTAAACCCTAAACCCTGTAAACCCTGTAAACCCTAAACCCTAGACCCTAAACCCTAAACCCTAAACCCTAAACCCCAAACCCTAAACCCTAAACCCTAAACCACGAGAAGCCGACGAAGCCGAGGCCTTGAGGCACTTCACATTGGACCTGGCTCCCCGCACCGGCCTCGGCTTCTGGGAATTATGGTGCGTTCAGATCTATGGGACGCTGGTCTTAGGGTGTTAGGGTTTAGGGTTTAGGGTTTAGGGTTTAGGGTTTAGGGTTTAGGGTTTAGGGTGTCGTTTGGGATGTGCTGGAAAGGATTTTCGGGGAGGTGTCTTGTGTGCGAGAACTTTCAGGGGTTAGCTGGGACCATTTGTCCGCGGCTTCAGAAGCACCAGGGGCTTGGGCATGCAGCGTCGTGCCGAAGTGCCGAAGGCCGAAGGGCTTGGGCGGGAGGCAAGATGTTTAGGATTTTGGCTCAACAGAGGTTTTGTGTACGTGGCCGAGTGCCAAGGTCCGTTCAAGAAGAAGACGTTCCAAAATGGGAGGAGCTCTGGGGCTTGCCACAAGATTTGCATGGAGACTGCGGCATGGGGGTTTACGAAAATCAGGGACCCCGAATATAGACCACCAAATAGTAGTGAGGACCCCAATCAGTAATAAGGTGCCCCTAATTTCCGAAACCCGCACATGGTGTGCCAGGGTTGAGAGCGCTTCGGAATACGGGTCTCGTACGAACCATACTTGCATCATGCAGCGTGCAGCGCATCTGGCTGTATATGGCTTGAGCTATACATATATCAGGCTACATATCGATTGAGATCGTATGCACGGGACATCGCGGGCTGTTGGGAACAGGTCAGAAGAACGTGCCTACAAGCCGTCTTTTCAAAGCCCCTGCCGTTGCTGCTTTGCTCATGCAGCAAATCTAGAATAGTTGAACATTTGATCGAAGTTGCGTGGGAAGGAAGCGACAAAAGCCACGGGTGAAACGCTTGCGATCGCCAGCGGATGCCACTGCCGAGAACACTGCCTTCATTGACGAGGCCTGATTCTAGTTTGTGTTGCGTGACAAACTTAGAGTTGTGTAAAGGCTGCTTTGCTGCATGCACTTGCACCAACTTGCTTGTTGCCTCAGACCCAAGCCCAGACTCGGGCCTAGACCGATGTTGAAAACTATGCTTTTAGTTGCAGATGCTTGGTGTTTTTCTGGGACCGTAATGTTGCGTGTGTTGCAGCAGTCCCAAGAACTGTGGCGTTATTGTGGCATGTGTCTCCACTGAATAGCAGGTTACCGGCAAGACTTGCAGGCATAACTTATGGATGTGTGCTGGCAACACTTGTAAACCAAGGGCCCAACTGGTCTTTGTGTAAATCTGACACCCTAAAGTCGGATAAACCTCGCTCTCAACGCTTACTGAGCGCTGCTCATGACGCCAGCAGCCGCCATTTGAACGACAAATGTGTAAGTCCCAAAAGGGCCCTGGCTGAACCAGCAGACTAACGCAACCCCCCAATCAATCCCCAATCTGAAACACAAACCGTAAACCGTAAACCCCTTTCATGGTGAAAGCACAGCAGCCTTTGGAGGTCTACACAGCAAGAGGGCAGCCCGTGTACCGTGCCGTGGCAGACAGGGGCCCTAAACCCTAAACCCTGAACCCTGAACCCTAAACCCCAAACCCCAAACCCTAAACCCTAAACCCTAAACCCTAAACGTTCGGATGTAGGGGTTGAGGCTGGCTTGAGCTCCGGGCTTTTGTGTGTGATGTGGGGCTTCGGTATCTGAGTTTAGGGTTTAGGGTTTAGGGTTTAGGGTTTAGGGTTTAGGGTTTAGGGTTTAGGGGCAAGGCACCAAAGGCCTGCCTACCTACACCTTACCGACAGTTTCAACCCGGTCAGGTGAGGAATTCTCATCAACATCTTGGTTTACAATATGCTCGGTGTCAACTTTATATTGCATACAATGTTCATACGCGGGAAAGTAATTAAAATTGTTGTGCTTGAACCCTAAACTTGAGAAAGCCGGTTCTCAGCCCTAAACCCTAAATCCTAAACCCTAAACCCTATATACCCTAAACCCTATACCCTAAACCCTAAACCCAGGTGAGGGAGCCTTGCCTGGCCCTGTGGGGGGCTTTCGCACTTTCCGCGAGGTGGCTCGAACCCATGATAGGGTTTGGGGTCTAGAGTTTAGGGTTTAGGGTTTAGGGTTTAGGATTTAGGGTTTAGGGTTTAGGGTTTAGCATGCTCTTGGCTTTGAGCTGTAAAGTTTCCGTTCAAAGTAGGATCAAGGGATTAGGGATTTGGGTTGATAGACCTGCTTGTGCACATGTCATGTATATGCATATACACACATACACACATGTACATTCTTACAATATATATATATGTATCTAGCCAGCACATGCAAACAACATGCCCAGGTGCCTAAAATTCCCCACTTTCTACGTTTGTGTCTTCCGGCGTCGGTGTGCAAGCATGTCAGGTGCGACTCGTCGGCTTTGAGAACCAGGCCCCCTAAACCCTAAACCCATGGTTAGTGGGGAATGACTATATCCCCCTTGGGAATTACGTTTTTATTTTGGTTTATATAGAACCCAAGAGGATCTTAGGCATATTATTTTCATTAAGGTTCTAAGGGGAGTATAGATGAGGGAATGAGGTACCCTGTATAGTCCCTTAAAGGGTATATATGGGGGGTTGCAGGGTACCTCATTCCCTCCTTCAGTACGAACCAATAGTAAGAAGAACGGTTTCAGGGATCTTCAGGGCTCCACGAACCCAGGGTTTAGGGTTTAGTGTTTGGGGTTCAGGATTTAGGGTTTAGGGTTTAGGGTTTAGGGCCATTGCGCTACGGTGCGAGAAGGCATTAGACCGTGCTGCACCTCAAGTAGCTACTTTGGCCGCCGTTACCTTGAGCTCAAAGTTCTGAACCCTAAGCCCTAAACCCTGAACCCTGAACCCTAAACCACAAACACCGTTGCAGGGTTTGTCTTGGCGGGTCACCGTCCATGCCTCCACGAACCTGCGCTTCTTCTGCCGAGCGGAGCATCGACGACAAGGACCAGATGTCGGGTGCTGTATCGGTTTCCGAATAGGGGTACCCTTGAAGGTCCTTTTAAGGGGGTTCTATTCTATTTGTACCCCTATTTTGGGAAATACCCCTGGCTAAGCAAGTGCCAAGACATCGACATGTCAGCAACCCCTTGTACCCCACACCCCGGAAGCCATGATTTCAATGATTTCAGGGTTTTTTTAATGATTTCAGTGATTTCAATGATTTCAAGTTCAATGGTTTCATGTCTGGGATTTCAATGAATTCAAGAAATTCAATGAATTCAAGAAATTCAATGATTTCAATGATTCCAATGATTTCAATGATTTCAAGTTCAATGATTTCATGTCTGGGATTTCAATGATTTCAATGATTTCAATGATTTCAAGAAATTCAATGATTTCAATGATTTCAATCCGCGGAGGCTTGGGAGGCCCCTCCTCGTCTCAGAGCCGATCTTGCCAGGCTAGACCTCCTCTGCGCGGCGTTTGTTTGCTTGAGTTTTCGCTGGAGGGGGGGGGGGGGGGGGGGCGGCCGGGGGAGGGTCAGGGGAGGGGGAAGGGAGGGGGAGGGGGGAGGGGAAGGGGAGGGGGAGGGGGAGGGGCGGGGGAGGGGTTAAGGATCTGCGGTGCAAGGTCTGGCCTGAGGTGAGGGCTGACATGGGTTCAGCGGGGGTTTTGGGGGGGATGAAGGGTATAAAGGTTGATGGTTGGGAGGTTCCCCCTTATACTACCAGTCCGCAATAGGGATTATAAAGCGTGTACTATAATCCCTATTAAGATCCCAAGGGATGAAGGGCAATTAAAGGTTGATGGTATTTGTGGGTGTGGGGCCGACGGGGTTGTAGGCTTTGAAGGCTTCACCCTTCTGCAGGGTGTTTTTTATGGGTTTGCGAAAGGCTTCTAGAGTGGGGGCTGGGATGCAGTTGAGCTGGCTCTTGTAGAGCATTCAGCCTATCATGAAGTTGTTGATAAACCAACCCGATGCTGATCTGTAAGCAGATTTCCCGCCTTGTACACGTCTAGTGTAACCACTTCTTGCGGGCATTGGCGAACTCGTTTCATTGACCCATAGATAAGTTTGTCGTCACAGTCCTGGAGCGTGCTGTAGAACGTCCAAGATTAAATGCAGCGCGTGGTCTATAGTCTAGAATCTAGAATGCCGCGCTCAATTGGGGATGCTTTGGTGCGTCATGCTGTTCAAGCCCTATGGCTGCACACAGATGGTCTTCGAAGCACGTCATGTGCTGGAGAGCCTCCTGCAAGGTCCTGAACATAAATTGTTAGGGTGTTTGGGGTTTGGGGTTTAGGGCTTAGGGTTCAGGGTCAACTGGAACCTCTGCACCCGACACCGTCCTGCCTTGCTCGGGTTGTGAGGCGGGTCTACGCCAAGCTGCCAGTCAAGGTCAGCAGGGCCCTGCCGAAGCTCTAAACCCTGAAAATCTTATAGAGCCCTAAACTCTCCAATCCCTTGAACCCGAAGCCATAATTAGGGACGCCTTCAGCATGAACCAGAAGACCTTATCCCCCAAAAAATGCTAATCACCTGGCAACTTCACCTGGCAACTGGGGGTTGGGGGGGCCCAGATTTAGCCCCTAGAACTGATGCGGGGACCAAGTCGTGTTTCTGCTTTTCTGCTGCTTGAAGAGCGTGACTTGGTTCGACTTGCATCCGAAACCCTCGGAAAACCCTCAGCCCTGAACCCTAACACCCTAGAAGTCTACATTCAGACCCTAACCGCCATAGCCTCAGCAGGCACTCCGACAGGGTGAGCATGGAATTTCGGGCTCGGAGCCCTTTTCAACAACATCTCGGACACCTGCAAGACCTCAACTGCTAAGCTCTACTCGTACGGCACAGGAAAGACGTAAACCCTAAACCCTGAATCCTACAAACCCTTATACCCTAAACCCGAAACCCTAAACCCTAACCCCAAGAAGTAAACCCTAAACCCAAAACCCTAAACCCTAAACCCTAAACCAGGCGGAGAGGAATCCGTGGTCTTCGAGACGTGTGGGAGCCCTGCGGAGGTGAACGCCGCGCCGCGCTTAGGGGTTTGGGGTTTTACGGCTCCATTGTCCCAATAGGGGGTTTAGGGTTTTAGGGTTTAGGGTTTAGGGTTTAGGGTTTAGGGTTTAGGGTTTAGGGTTTTACGGCTCCATTGTCTGGGGGTTTGCGAAATTAGGGTTTAGGGTCCAGGGTTCACGGTTCAGGGTTTGGGGTTTAGGGATTTGCGGGTTTCTGAAACTAGGGGTACCTTCTTGGGGCTTAATATAAGGGAATCCTACTACTAGGGGTTTGCGGCTCCATTGTCCCAACTGGGTTTACCCCCAAATAGCACTTAGTATAGGAATCACCAAAAAACTAAAAGGGAGTACCCCTATCTTCGGAACCTCCCAGCATGGCCTCTCCGTATGTTTTGTAGGTCCCTTTGCCCTTTTTTGGGTTCTGGGGTCCCTTAGAAAGTAACCCTAAACCCTAAACCCTAACCCCTAAATCCTAAACCCTAAACCCTAAACCCTAAACCCACAAAAACGGGTGCTTTACCATCAAATGGTTACTGGGAATCCCAAACCAATCCGCAGTTTCCAAAAACTCAAGCCGCAACCCCTGACAAGTACACCAGACTCGACAGAGGGCGCCCTCAACGACAGAGGGGATCCCAGACCCTCTTCACCCTAACTCCTAAACCCTAAACCCTAAACCCTAAACCCTAAACCCTAAACCCTAAACCCTAAACCCTAACCGCGAACCATGAGGCGGTCTCTCTGCTTGCGTACCATCCGATGCCGAGCACGACCTCAGCTGCGCGGCTGCTCCTTTAGGGTTTAAGGTTTAGGGTTTAGGGTTGAGGGTTTGGGGTTTGGGGTTTGGGGTTTGGAGGGTTTAAGGGCTCAGGGCTCAAGTGCTTCAGGATTTTCAGGTTAGGGTTTAGGGTTTAGGGTTTAGGGTTTAGGCTTTAGGGTTTAGGGTTTAGGGTTTAGGGTTTAGGGTTTAGGGTTCAGGGTTTAGGGTTTAGGGTTGTAAAGGGGTGAGAGGCTTCTTTGCTTCTGGGGTCTTGGGCCTGCGAGGGCAGCTTCAGGGTTGCAGGTCTCAACCCTAAACCCTAAACCCTAAACCCTAAACCCTAAACCCTAAACCCTAAACCCTTAACCCCATCCCCCAATGCCAGCCGTCGAGCCGAACGGGCGCAACCTGGATTCATTTTAAGATTTGGGGGCTTAGGCTAAGCTAACAAGTTGGGAATCCTGAGCTTCCTTACATGCTAAGCCCTACACATCCCTCAGCTTCCCCAACCTGAACCACAAGCCTTGGCCTACACCCTAAAACCCTGAACCCTAAACCCTAAACCCTAAACCCTAAACCACAAGCGCCTTTGGCCCTCCGCAAGGTTGTGGTGGCCGAGCCCCGCCGCGATGCGCGGCTGACCGCCGAAGAGCTGGAGGCGAACGTGTGTTCGGCTTGGAGGGGCCCTGTGAACAACTACTAATTTGGGTTTAGGGTTTAGGGTTTAGGGTTTAGGGTTTAGGGTTTAGGGTTTAGGGTTTAGGGTTTAGGGTTTAGGGTTTAGGGTTTACTATTTTGCTTAAGAGCCACCCAAAGGATAGCAAATTATTCTTCCTTATAAGTCATATATGTACATATATATATATATGTAGGATTAGTTAAGTACTACTTGCTTAAGAACCACCCAAAAAATAGAAGTAGTTTGGTTACTTTTTGTTCTGGGGGGATTCTTAAGCATTTGGTAGACAACACGCCTTCATACCCAAACCCCAAACCCGAAGCCCCACACCCTGAAGCGCAGCTGCCCCCAAGGTTCGTGCCTCGTCGTTTTTAACCTTGCGCAGGCACACTTTGGCCTCCTGCGCATCTCAGCCAGCACCGCAGGTGCAGGCTGTTCTTCAGAGACAGGCGCCCACTCTCCGTGAAGTTCGGTGTGTTTTGAGTTTGGTTCTTTAGGCTCAAAAGGGACTTTGGGGTTGCTTGGTGCAATAAGGTCCGCGGGTGAGCGAGCGTAGCTGGGTTCAGCAGGATCAGCTGTCGTTCCGGTCCGAGGGTTCCAGCTCGGACTCCCCCTCCGCCCATCGGGCCAGCAAGACCTCTAGGGCACTCAGTTCACGCCTCACGCCTGCCATCAGCAAGGGGCAACCTCCCCTATGGCCAACAGAGCCAGCCACCATCTGCCACACCCCTGACCACGAGCTCATGAACGGTATTCCCTTGAGTGAACGGCACAATGATGTACTAGCATTGCGGAAGGGGTGTGCGAAACGTGCGAGGTGCATCTCAGGATAGCAGCTTAGCCCTGTACCTCCTACCTCTCCCCTGAAGCTTCCAAGTCCTGAACCTCCTGGACACGATCAACCCTAAACCCTAAACCCCAAAACCCTAAACCCTAAACCCTAAACCCTAAACCCTAAACCCTCAACCCTAAACCGAACCTGAGCTTGCCAGGCCCCGTCGCATCTCAGGCAAGGGGCGCGCGCGGGCTGATGTCCAGAGATTTGCAGAGCAGAGTGTTCATAGTGTGAAACTTTGGCTTGAGACTACGCTCGGGTGTCCATGTCCAATGTTGTTTGCAGTACTCCCCCGCCCCCCCACGCAAGAGGTGCAGCTGTCGGCGCTATTGGACGATGTGCAGGAGCACATCACAGTCTCCGCCTTGGTTGTTCTGCCCTATAAGCCCTAAACCCTAAACATGGGATCATTCACATGCACTCCGGGGAGAACATGAACACAGCAGAGCACACTTCCGGCCTCTTAGAATGAGGCTGTTCCCGATTTTGCGCTGCCTGACGTGTGTTTAACAACAACCTGTTTCTGGCAGCACATGCTCCTGCATCAGAGGTTGCCTCTGTGCCCGAAAGACCTGTTGCTTGCATACTCAGCCCTGAACCAGAGAGCCGACACCTACTTGTAGGAGTCCTAACTCCGGAAGTTGGCAAGGAACCAAGAGAGATCACGGAAGCCTTCAACGCTTTAAGCCCGGGATTGACAAGATTCCGGGCGCCTAGAACTCTTGAGGTGAAATGCCGGAGGAGATAGCCGTGATTTTTTCTGTAGAGCAGCGTCCACGCTCTGATGCACGATGTAAGGCTTCTTTTGCATGAGTTTGATTCTTTCTTGAGCTGCTTCTGCTATGTCCAGGTCGTGGCGCACTGCGCGGAGCGATGCCACCTTCTAGACAGGCCGAAAACTAGAGGTCAGTGTTAGGGATCCTGTTTACTTTCTGGGTTCTGGGCTTTCTTATATATGAACAAAGAGGATCCTTTTTTCTTCCTAGGGGACACAGGGATTAAGGTTTGAACCCTCAGGGCCCCAAAACCCACGGAAGCCTAAGGATCCTGCTATTGGGGTAGGCCCCCAACTAGGGGGGGACTCTGGAAAACCGTGTTTGTAGAATCCTTATGTTTATGGGGCTGTTTGGACCCCTAAACCCGACGTAAACGTTTCGGCCGTAAAGCGATGGCAGAAACACCAAACCCTTCACCCCGGACTTGACCTTCAAGCCACCTTGAAGACTAGCACCCCCCACCCCCCCCCAGACATCCCTAGAGACCCCAAGCGGAACCAAAGAAAACCATTCAACTCGTTCGTGTGGAGCTCCGAAAATGAGAGTTTAGGGTGTGTAGATCTATTGGGCTTATGGCTGGGGCATGCGGCTAACCCCCTGCAGATTTTCATATGAAAAACTACGCTGGACTCTTCTCCGAAATCAGAACCAGGTTGTTGTTCGCCTGCAATGGTCACAGTTGGCAAGCACTTACCTTTCATCCACGCAACCACGTGCTATAGAGGCTTAGTCCACATGAACCCTTAGATTCTGCGCAATCCGTTCCGGTGCAAGTTTGACGGCCAAGCCAGGCTTAGGGTTACTAACGTTCATAGAAGCCCTCACTTTGCCCTTAACTTTGGGTTGTCATCAATGTCTCGGGGGCCCAGTCACAGGGTCAGAATGACTGCCTGGGTTGATGGATTACTGGCTCGACCAGTCATAGGGCCGAGATGGTGATTGGCTGCAGGCGCTCGCGGGTTGTGAGCTACAATGTGTAGGGGCAAAAGCACGTAGGTCAATGAGTTTATGCTGTCATGGACTTTTGACCAAGCATAAGACCAACCGCGACATGTGCAAAATGAGGGGGCGGCGGGAGAGAGGGGGACGTCCAGCTTTCCTTCTGGCCTTGGCTTCTCCGTGTCTGGGGTTGAGAAGGCTTAGCTCCAACTTCAGGGAATCGCTGGCCCAACACAACAATGTTTGACATGCAGCTGAGGGTTTAGGTAGTCCTGAGGGCTCCTGAAAGATCTGAGTTCAGGCTTCTATGCACTATGAGTGAGCCCTGACTGTCAGGCTTGCGCTCTCTTTCAGAGAGGCCGTGGGCAAGCTTCAGCTTAGGGTTCGGAACATCCCACTTCCTTCTGGTTCAGGTTTCAGGGTTTGAGTTTAGGGTGATCGGCCTGCTACTCCAACTAAGGCAAATGGTCCTTAACAAAGAGGGTCTAACGAGAGGTAACTAGAAATACTTGGGGAACTCTTGGGCTTTCTATCCCCCCTGACTGTAGACCTCCACAAGGACCATAGTTGATTTACGTTCTACGATTGCCGGGATTATGGAATTTCCTCCTCAGTTTCGTGACAGCGGATCGATATGTCGGTTCCTTTTGTGTACAGTTCTACGACCACCTGCCCATCATCGCGACATGCGAGTGCGCCGAGGATGAGGGTTGCCAGCACCTGAGGGGAGGAGCTGTTGAACACCTGAGGTTGGCGTTTAGGGTTTAGAGTGGTTTGGAGGTCTTTAGATGCGCAGGTTTGGGGGTGTTCTGGTAGCATCTGGCAGTGAGCCTTCTCGCATGACGCCGGTACAAAGGGGTTTTGCGAATCATATAGCAAACCTGAGCCCGACTCCTAAACCCCAGGACCCACATCCTAAACCCTGAGCTGCAGTCAAAAAACAAAATCTGACAGCCGTTCGCCAGCCCAGAAAGTTCTGTCGAGGCATCGTATGCTGGTTTGTGGGTCTAGAGGGCTTAGGGCTTCACGCTTCCTGAGAAATTTATGGCTAAGAGCACCATGCAAGCCCTAGACCTTCATGCCACGACCGCAAAGACACCGTGGCCCCCAACGAGTTTGCGAGGCACGGCACCCGTACCTCGAGCTCATCCATCGGTCGATGACTCAGCTTCCATGCACTTCTTGTACTGCAATGGCTTTGAGGGTCTAGGGCGAGTTGTTGAAGGCCGGCGCGCCGCCGTTGTATCCCCCCACCACCGAGATCGAGCGCACATTCAATTCAACTCAGGGTGGTGGTGCGAAGGTCAGCAGTGGCGGACAGACCTCATGTGAAACCCTAAACCCTGAACCCCGAACCCTAAATCCTAAACCCTAAACCCTAGTCGGTTCCTTGGCTGAGAACACGGCCGCGCCCCTGCTTTAGCAATGAAATGCAGGGTGGCCGCCTCCATCTAGGATGCTGCACCTCCCTCCCGGAGATTCGTCTAGGGTTTAGGGTTTAAGGTTTAAGGTTTAGGGTTTCGGGTTTAGGGTTTAGGGTTGTTGGAAGAACAGCAGCAGACAATCCCAAGGTTTCACAGCTCTCCCAATACCAAGACCCCAGCTTTGTTTCGACAGGCCATGGGTCTGGCGGACATATTGAGAAGTATCCAGCGAAAGCTTCAAGCGCTCATATGGGGGTTTACGAAATTAGGGAATTAGGGGACCCCTAAAATAGAACCCCCCAAATAGTAGGGGTTTTCTTATCATGAGGACCCAAGAAGACACCCCTATTTTCGGAAGCCACCATATGGATCCTTGGAGTGATACTTCGCTCATGGGCACCGAGATCCGCATCTTCGAAATGGGCTGGGAGGCTTTACAGTAAAATCTTCACTAGTAGCAATCTCCGGTTCGGCACAGCGCCCACGCGGAGGAAGCGCTTGCTTGATCTGCTTGACCCAAATCCTAGAACCCTGGAATCTGAACCAATACACCTGAACCATAGCCACCCTAGTTGTTGTCAAGGGTCAGCGAGGGGAGCCTTGGCCCACGGGTGGGAAGGTGGTGTAAGGCTACTGTTGCGGTTCAGCAGATTTCAGAGATTCGGGCTCAGTCTCATCCATTGTAGCCGATAAGCTAGAACCAAAGCTTCAGCCTGTTCAGCCTGAGGTCGCGCACATGACCGTCCTGTCGGTGCCATACGACTTCGGCCTCTCACGCGGGACAGCTTCAGCCACGCACAGCCTAGCCCGGGGCTTCCTTTCATGCGCAGGTAGGTGTTTAGGCTATGCCCTAAACCCTAAACCCGAAACCCGAACCCCTAAACCCTAAGCCCTACACCCCAAACCCTCAACCCTAAACCCAGTCAGGGAGTTATGGCCAAACCCGATCCCCAAGTCCTGCTTTCGATGCTTGCCCTCCTTGTGCCAATGTCAAGACCCCCAAAGCAGCGCCAGTCTCAGAGAGTGAGGGAGGGTTTAGGGTTGAGGGTTGAGGGTTTAGGGTTTAGGGTTTCCCGAAACCCTAACCCTGAACTCGGAACCCTAAACCCTACAAGCCCCAGATCCTGAGTGCAGGAAGACATTGCTCATCGAGATGACACAGACGGAGCCTGGACCTGATTGCCGCGCTTGTCAGTCAGTTTCACGGTTGGTTTGGGGTCTTTTGGGTTTTTGGGTTTAGGGTTTATATAGGGTTTAGGGTTTAGGGTTTTTGGGTTTAGGGTTAGGCTTTGAGGCTTAGGCTTCAAGGTCGGGAGTCTTCGGCATCGGGTTGCTTGGGATGCTGGGGCCTTGATGTAGAGGTTAAAAGCTTCAGGCGGTTCTAGGCATCATAGATGTCGCAGTTTTGTACCATTTTGTATATCGGAGAGTAGGGGTGGATTGGAGCTCAGCGCCGTGCCCATTCGGAAAGCGCACGCCTTCATGCCCGCCTATCTCCTTGCGCATGCGAAGTTGTGAAACCCTGAACCACATCAATGAGGCTGAAATTGGGCCCTTAACGGCCCTTAAGGGCTTGATCCGCCGATATGTTTGCTCCCAGAAACTTCACAAGCCCTAAGCCGGTGGAGCCCCGAGGGATCCCTCACAAAGTGTGGTTTTGAGTATTCAGGACCCAGAGTAGGCCCTTATTTCATCGTTCTGTTTTTTTCTTTTTTTTCTTTTTTTTTTTGGGGGGGGGGGGGGGGGGGGGGGGGGAGGGGGACCCTTCTCAGCCCCTCTTAAACCAAATAGGGCAGCTTTTTCGTCCCAGATTCCTATTAGGTTTAGGATTTGAGGGCTTCGGGTTTGGAATCAGTGCAGGCCAGTTGCTCTTTAACTAGCATCCCAAAGTTGCGGGCCAGTTCGCCGAGGTTTGTGTTGGTGCTGGACGACGACTTCACCCACTCAATCCATTCATGCGCCTCCAAAGCACTGTGACAGCAGTCGGGTGCTGTTTGGGATTTCTGTGCCACTGGTACAAGTTCCGGGCTTCGTGAGGCAGGCTGCTTCATTCAGAGTCTTTGCCTCGAGTTCCCTAGCCACAGGCCGTAGCAGCTGCCACCGCAACCCACCTCCGAGTTTGCTTCAGCTCGGCCTTATTCAACCTCCGCCGCAGGCAGCGTTCTGCCGGCTTGTATGTGCATACCCCCCCACCCCCCCCCTCTCACCCCCTCCTAAACGACCAAGACAGTCTTGAACCGGTCCTCCCCCTTGAGGGTCCGGACATTGATTTGCAAGGGCGCCGTACTTATGACATCCGAAAGAGCTTGTAAAGAACAGCGTGGCTGACTTCCCAAGTCCCCGGAATGTGACGGGATAGGACTGGACTCACTAAACGTTAGCGCAAACGATGCCCCATGAAGACGTTGACCTTGCCTTAGGTCGGTCTGAGTTTGCCACTCACAGGCTTCTGGGTGCTATGCGGCCATTCTCCACGTAAACCTTAAACCCTAAACTCTAAACCCGCACATGTTTTTTTCGCCTGATTTTTTGCACGTGTGTATTTAGATATTTCTGCTTCTCAAAGGCCCTACAGCTCGGCGACCTTCGTGTTTCGGGTTTAGGGTTTAGGGTTTAGGGTTTAGGGTGCATCAAGCCTTCACACCCTGGAAGTCTGATTTCCTTGGAAGGACGGAGGGTTGACTGCATCTAAGCGGCGGAAGCACAAAAGACTCATGTCTCCCCTACCTAGGTAGGCCCTTGAAAATATTTGTTACTTTCCCTAGTTGGCTTGAAGAGGATCATACTTAGGAATATATTTCAGAGGGTTCTAAGGGGCCAACCTAAAAGCTCCAGACGCGCTTAAGCCCTAGCTATAGGGGCCTGAATTAATCATTAGAACAGGTTTTTTTTTGTTTTTTTTTTTGGGGGGGGGAGGGGGGGGGTTCTTCTAGCAGAATTTATATAGGGCCCTAAGGGGCTACATTGAGTAATTCTTCCGACCCCAGTAGCCCTAAACCCTAAACCCTAAACCCTAAACCCTAAACCCTAAACCCTAAACCCTAAACCCTAAACCCTAAACCCTAAACCCTAAACCCATATCATAAGGCCTGGAGTGCATGCTGTGGAAGATGCGGAGCCGCCACTACTCGCTGTGGAAGCGCCTTGGCTGACAAAACGAGGCCGTAGCAGGGTGTAGGGTTTAGGGTTTACGGTTTAGGGCAGGTTAGGGTTTAGGATTTCGGGTTTACCTTCAGGCTCTGAGTTTACTTGGAGGTTCATGGTACTTATTCATTAACCAACTATACAACTGTACTTATAGCTGTACATCTAACTATATCTTAATTAGCCTACCATAACTGTACTTATAGCTGTACATATATAACTATATCAGGCCACTTAAGGGGCTTTATAAGTGGGTTAGGGAGCTGGTTTTCAGCGATCAGAGTGCGGTGAGGACCGGAGAATGATTTTTCGTCTTGAGGTCCCTTGTCATACAGCTCAAGGGTTTAGGGTTTAGGGTTTAGGGTTTAGGGTTTAGGGTTTTCGTGGTGTCAGCGAGGCCCTTCGACATCTTGGGCTTTCCGGTCCAAGAGGCAGATATGGCGGGCGGGAGGGGCGGGCCCTGAGCCTTAAACCAAAAGCCTGAAGCGCTTGCGTCGACGCCCTCCAGCATGGCTGGACGTCGTTGAGGCCTTTGAGAATGACCGGTTCGGAGGTTACTGAGGGAGGCTGAGGGAAATTGTAGGATGTAGGATCTTCTCGCCTCGGGCTTGGTGCGAGGTCCTCAGGCCAAAAGCCCCGAATTCTTTGTCCCAAGCCAGACTGCGTAGGATGAGCGCGGATTTGGAGCCTTCCGCGGCAGGCGCGCACTCACCAAGCACAGAGCGGGTTCGACAGTGCAGGGATAATAGGGTTTTGGCGCACAGGATTTCCCCAGGATTGGAGGTTACTAGAATCCCTGTTTAGGGTTTAGGGTTTAGTGTTTAGGGTTTAGGGTTTAGGGTTTAGGGTTTAGGTTTTAGGGTTTAGGGTTTAGGGTGGAGCCTTTGCTGCACTGCCAGGTTGCGCGTGACCAATCAGCAGCTGTTCCTGGAGCCCATGGTGGAGGCTGGGTATGCTGCAAAAACAGCCATGTAGGGTTTAGGGTTTAGGGTTTAGGGTTTAGGGGTTAGGGGTTAGGGGTTTAGGGTTTAGGGTTTAGGGAATTATGGCATAGCCCTGCGCTGTAAATTAAGGGATATAAGGAGGGACCCTTAATCAAGTTCCCCTATATAATCCTTGTATATATGCCTTCTTACAAGGGTCCCTCCTTTGAGTCCCTTAAAAGCCCTGGCCCCTAAACCCCAACCTCTGCCCCTTCCTACCCTGCAACCCCTGGGCTATATGGCCTGTATCTGCAAACAAGCAGCTTTGTAGTGACCCGCGGGGACAGCCCGCCGGCAACGCAGCCGATTGAGTAGTAAACGGTGGTAGAAGTGGGGCAACCCCAAACAGCAACACTACGCCATCGCACAAGGAATCTGATCCGAGGTCCCAAGCCCGAAGTTTTCAACCGGAAACTACCAAACTACCAAACTACCTAAACACTAAACGCCCGTAACCAAAAGCCCCGAGTAATTCTCAAGCACGCCCAGCACCTTCGCTCGTTTAAGTACATCTTCGGGTTCACGCTTTCAGGACTGCCTTTCAGCAGACTGGCAGACAAAGATGCCTAGAAGCGAAGCCGTCTAACCCTGGAGCCACTAGGAGTTGCTACCGGACGGCTGCATTCGCGTGGAAATCTGCGCCAGCCCTGGTGCTTGTGGCCTAAACCTAAACCCTAAACCCTAAACCCCAAACCCTAAACCCTAAACCCCACACCTGCATGTCAGAAGTTGCAAGCAACAGCACTGTCTGCTCAGGCCCCATGGTGTTTCTGGGACGGACTGCGCGCATGAAGACGTTCCAATTCCAAAAGGACTTGCGGGTACATCTCTCGGACTCCCACGGAGCTGGCTTTGCGTGTGTTTCTACCGTTGCCCTCCCCGGACTTGGCTTCGTGATAACCCAGGTCGGGGAGCATGAGCAGTTCTTCTACTCCAACGCATACCAGGGCGTCCAGGTCGGCATCGCATTTTCCTGTCTATTGAGACTCAGGTACAGTCTACGATGCTACCCCTAAACCGTAAACCCTAAACCCTAAACCCTAAACCCTAAACATGACAACTACTCTGCCCACGAAAGCAAGAGCGTGCGTGCACCAGCAGGTCGCCGTATGCTTCGACTCGTCATTTCCGCACTTCCGTGTCAGAGCCTCGTCAGGACTCTGGGGCGTCGGGACTTAGGGATAGCTGGAATATAAATTCCCAAAGAGCCCAATACCCCTTAGTTTAGGAATGCACCTTAAACCATACTAAGGATCCCTATATAAATTATGCAATATTCCCTAATTAAGGGATATTGGGCTCTTTGGGTTGGCTTTTTGGGCACTATAATTCCTAAGAAATTTGCTAGGGTTCCACGTTCAGTATAGCTTGGGCGGTTACAGACTAGCATTGGTTGAACCTTACAGGTCTTGCGCACAGTGTTTTGCCAGGTATATCGGGATTCAGGGTCTCGATCTTTTGGGGCTTTTCTTTCCCGAAGCCCTATAAGCTCTATAAACCACCTAGCCACAAGTGGCGGCTGGCCGGCTTGCCATATGGGGTTTACGACATGAGGGGTACCCTATTGGGGTCCTTATTATAAGGGAACGCTACTATTTGAGGACGAGGGGGCCCCTTATTCTCGTAAACCCCCGTATGCCCCATCGTAGACACGCCCCTGCCTTGACCAGGTCAACACCATGAGCGCAGGCTACGTGAAAAGACGAGAGAGGACCTGCGATCACAGCACATGACACTTGGAACATTGCACTGGCAGCTACATCCATGTCCCTAAACGTCCCTTGACCCCTAAGCCTCCGGCGCCTAAGCCCTAATCCCTTCCCCCTAACACATAAGTTACCTCTGGTGAAAAAAAAGAAACTGGCCCCAAAACCCGGTCCGTCAGTCGCCCCTTTTGAAATCTCTGCCGTCTAAGGGGGGGGGGGGGTAACACCTCCTGTAGCAGCCCTAAAGCGTGAAAATTGCTCTATCAGCATGCCACAAGAACGGGCTGCTCGTTCGGACAACGATAAGAACCCCCGCCCTAAATCCTAAACCCTAAACCATAAACCTGAGACCCTAATACTACAAACCCTTGTTTGGATGGATTTTCGTTCCTACCTGGCAGGGCGGTGGGTCCCGAACGCTCGGGGTCAGGAAAAGGAAAAGAAGCTGTTTCCTGAGGCAAAGAAATGGCGCTTGACAAGGGCAGGGCTCTGAATGGCCCATAAATCCCAAATCCCCAGCCTTGAAAGGCCTAGTAGTAGAGTAGGTAACCTTTAACCTTCTTGGGGTAGTATCATCCCCTTATACTCCCGAAGGTTAACCTTCTATTCCCCCAGGTTACCGGACAACTAAGAAGGAACCCCTAAACCCATCCTAAACCCTAAACCGAAAACCCTAAACCCTAAACCCTTGGTGGGGAAAGGATGCCGCAGCTGATGGCGAACGCGTTTGAGAAGTTGGGCTTCGAGCGCGCACGGGTCCCATTTCTGCAGGCAAGGGAGGTGAGGGCTTTTGGGGTCCACCAGGGGTCGGGTCTTGGGGACTCTACTAGGCACTCTAGGGTTTACAAATGCTTTGGGGAAAGGTTTCAGGGATCGACATACAAAGTCTTTTGGTCTTGGGCTTTGGTGCCTAGGGCTCAAGACGTTGGTCTTCGGGGTTTTGCGGTCGCTGGAGCTTTGTGGCCTGGAGGTTCACGCTATAGCAAGGTTTCAGAGACCTAGTAGTAGAGTAGGTAACCTTTAACCTTTTTGGGGTAGTAGAATCCCCTTATAATCCCAAAGGTTAACCTCGAATTCCCCCAGGTTACTGGACAACTAGGGAGAGTTTGAGGGCTTCAGGCAAGTAAGGCCTGCAACATAAGTCAACCAAGCATAAGTGGCGAGGTGCCGAGTGCTAGGTCCCGGTTTAGGGTTTAGGGTTTAGGGTTTAGGGTTTAGGGTTTAGGGTTTAGGGTTTAGTGGTTTCCGATTTCCGCACGTACACCCTTGCCACACAAGATGCTGTGCACCAGCTGATGTGTGGTTTCAAAAGCTCAGCAGCCGCTGCACCCAAATGGTGTCCCCAACCTCTAAACCTAGTAGCAGAGTAGGTAACCTTTAACCTTTTTGGGGTAGTATAATCCCCTGCCTCATAATCCCAAAGGTTAACCTTTTGATTCCCCAGCAACTAAGTAAAAACCAAATCTTAGCTGGCCAAGGCCATGTTCCTGTTCCGCAAGTACGACCACGGCCAGCCGCTTCAGTGATTTGCGCAGTGTTGCCTTCACAAGTTGCCAATGTTCGGCCTTCAGGGCGGTGTAAACCCTAAACCCTAAACCCTAAACCCTAAAGGCCGAATGGAAGACTACGACGAGCTTCTGGACAAGGCAGCAAACGAGCTCGTGAGGGGGGTTGTGGCTCGGAGGTCCTGCAAAACCTAAGGCCTAGATCGTTCATGGTCGGTGGGGAGATGGGGGTCCTAAACCCTAAACCCTAGACTCTAAACCCTAAACCCTAAACCCTAAACCCTAAACCCTAAGCCCTAAGCCCTAAACCCTAAACCCTAAACCCTCTTTGTGTTCAAGGGACCTTCAGGGGCTATCGGCCTGGCATGTGTGGCTGGAAAGAGCGTGGGCTCCGGGAGCAGCAAGCAACCGAAGTCCCGGTGTGGAATTGGAGTCCTGGACTTTGCAGAAAGGTTCGATGTGCAATGCCTAACCTAATATAGCAGAATATAAAATAATATCGTATTCTTACACAGAAATATAAATATAAATATAAACATAAATATATACATATTCATTTATTTATTTGTATTTGTTTATTCATATTTATATTGATATTGATATTTATATTTATAATCAGATTTATATGTATATTAATATAGAAGGAACAAAAGCCCTGAACGCCAAGCAACTCGAGGAGCTGGCGCGTTTTGCCCTTCAGGATTTCGGGATTAGGGCTTAGGGCTTAGGGCTTAGGGTTTAGGGTTTAGGGTTTAGGGCTTCGGGTTTAGGATTTCGGGTTTAGGGCTTAGGGCTTAGGGCTTAGGGTCTAGGTTTAGGGTTTAGGGCTCAGGGCTCAGGGCTTAGGGATGAGGGCTTAGGGCTCAGGGCATATAGGGCTAAAGTTTTTGGAGCTTAGGCTTGGCGAATGCGGAGGGTGGCTGGGTCACCATGCGCCCTAAATGCTCTTTCCGCAGCCGAAATGCATAGCTGGGCTTTTGGGTCCTATGCTGAGCAGCTTTTGTTTCCAGGCTTATTCGGTGTTACTCAAGTTCAGCCAAGAAGTACATACCTCCTCCCAGGGCACCGAAAAGCCGAAAGTACAGATAATATTGAAACCAACCTGCCCAGACGGTGCCGCCTTGGCATGTGGGACACGACACCTGCGGGCCCCCAACCGCCGATGGGCTCAGATCAGCCAAAGTTGTCCGTGGAGTTCTGGTTTCTGGGACTATATCTCACAGCTAAATTAGAGTTTGAAATCGATCTCCCTGAACCGTCTATCCCTGAGCCCCACGGGCCCGACGCTAAGCCCAGATTTTGGGATTCGGGCACTATAGGGGTCGGAAGAATTACTAGTAGTCTTCTCTTATGTGTCTACAGATAAGTTTACTTTAGTGACCCCCAAAAGCCTATTCTAATTATTAAGGTTTCTTTATGATGGGCTTCGGGGCCTGCGCAGCAACCGCAATCTTGAACCCGAGCCGTGAAACCCTCACGCCTGCTTGTTTGCTTTGCTTTGCTGAATTGGGGTGTTCAGGGTTTAAGGTTTAGGGTTTAGGGTTTAGGGTCTTGGTTTGGGGTCCCTAGAACCCGAAGCCCTCACTCAGCCATGTGGCCGCCACCCATGCTATGTTGTTTTTTTGTCCGCTGTATGTGTTGGTGTGCAAGTGCAGGCTTTACCTATATCCCCCTTGGGAATTATTTTTTATGTTTGTTTGTATAAAACCCAAGAGGATATTAAAAATATTTTTAACTAAGGTTCTAAGGGGAGTATAGCTACAGGAAATAAAGGTCCGGTGCACAACGCTCCGCGCACGTCGCGCGTGATGCAAACGCAAATGCCTATAGTCTCCAAGTTCCGAAATCCCAAGTCCGTCCCTCTAACAACGTATCCTCAGATCCCGGAGTGTTTAGGGTTTAGGGTTTAGGGTTTAGGGTTTAGGGTTTAGGGTTTAGGGTTTAGGGTTCCAAAAACCCTGAACCTCAAGAGCGCGTGTGCCCAAGCCTGAGGCACCACCGGTCCCCTTCGCACAGCTGCTGGCAGCGTGGATCCCAGAACGGCCCTAAAAAGCTCTGAATTCAGAGTAGACCTTGGGGCTTAAGGTTTGGGCTTCGAGGATGTCTGCGCGGGTTCACGTTCACCCACGTCACTCTCCGCAGGAGTCAAAGGGGTTTAGGGCTGAGGTGCTGGAGGCCCCAGGCTCCACAGACCTTTGCAGATAGTTGGGTGGCTTCAGTTGTGATTTTTTGGGCGGCGTCAGGCGTCTGGAGTTTCGGCAGGGGGCTGCTCAAAAATCGTCTGCTTTCTGCCTAAACCCTATAAACCCTAAACCCTAATGTTTCAAGTTCTGTGTGGACTTGGGGTTACAGATCTCACCTGGGCACAGTTACGAGCTGGGGCGGCGGCGTGCTAGGGCTTCTGGCGTGAGGGCTTGATAATCTTCCTTCTGGCTACGTGTGTCTTAGACCCTTTTTGACCCCTTTTTTTGCAAGGTAACCTTTGTACTACAACTGAGGCAATTGAAGAGGGAGGATTCAAATCCTTCTGAATGTGTGCCCGGTATCTACTGAAGGGTTTCGGCGAAGTGTTCATTACCGCTACGACCCAGTCCCAATATGGGTTCTCGAGACGAACTTAAGCGCCCGTCGCGCGAGCTCCCCTTTTGAGGTGGTGCTGACCACCGCAGACGCCGTGGGCCAGGCATTCCGCAGCGTCCTTCGAAGTCGGTGGGGGAGCCCAGTGCTTCGACTGGTGACATGCAACCCTGTACCCTATTGCCCCACACAGCAAGTCAGAAAGCCGGAAAACTCCATTTCCCCAAAGCCTCAACCACAACGCCAAACCTCCAGCGTTAGCGGTCAGTGTTCCAAGCGGTGAAGGCCTGACTCCTATTCGTGGAGATCGCGTGATGTTTGTAAGATTAAGCATAATGTCTCTAGAAACCTAGAGCTGGCAAGCCATAAACTTTATAAACTTGAATTTACGGGGCCCTTAAAACCCAAAAGGATTGACCAGGAAGTACATGCTTTGTACACAACCTATCCGGAAACGGTGATCCTTTCGTTTGACGAAAGCAGGAGCAGCACAAGCCAGCGTGGCCCTAAACCCTAAACCCTAAACCTTAAACCCTAAACCCTAAACCCTAGAGTGAATGTTCCTCGCATGGGCGCAGCTGACCCCGGTACCGCCTGTGAACCTTTCGTGGTTGGGCTTGGGCTTCGCTTTTGAGTTTACGGCTTCGGAGTTTCGGACTTCAGGCTCGGTGAGGGTTTAGGGTTAAGAGTTGAGGGTTTAGGGTTTAGGGTTTAGGCTTGTTTGGGAAGGGCAGAGGCTGCCTTTGCCAGGTCCTGGCTTCAAAGATTCGGGGAGCTCGCTGGCGTCCGAACCCTGAGAAACTGGCGTTTGGGGTTTAGGGCAGTTTGGGGTTTGGGGTTTAGGGTTTAGGGGTGGGGTTTAGGGCAGTTTAGGGTTTAGGGCTTCGGATTCAGGGGTTCAGGCGTTCAGGGGTTCAGGGGCTTCAACAAGCTCAACTTAATCTCCACGACCCCCAGTAGTACCATTATTCCCTGTTTTGGATAGGTTCCCTTCCCAAACCCCAGACCCAAGCACTCTTTTGGCCACAAGAAATCCTTGCAAAAGTCTCGAACCCGAAGCTAGATATAAAACCTTGAGGGTTGGCCCCAAAATGGGGCATGGGAATCTGATTGAGTCCGCGCCCCCGAAGCTTCCCAAACCCTGGCCGAGCCTACAAAAGGGGCCTTAATAGGGTTTCGGGTTTAGGGTTTAGGGTTATTAGAGAATAGTATTATTATAGTACTATTCAATAATATGGGCATTTCCCAAAATCGGGGTCCCCTGTCATACCCAAAAATAGAACAGAGCCCCCTTAGTACCCCAAGTTTGGGAAACCCCCGTATAGGGACCATAGGGGAATATTAGTAGTAAAAGTTTCCGACCCTAAGCCATAAACCCTAAACCCTACACCCCATTGGTAATAATTCCGACCCCTTTTATTATGAAGCTCCAAGGCGGCGTCTCTGCGTTGGGTCTTTGCTGTCCATCCTCAAGCCGATGAGGCCTCGGACCCGAATGCAGAATCCCGAGCCGTAAGCCCAAGATTAGGTTTCGGGTTTAGGGTTTGGGGTTTCGGGTTTGGGTTTTGGGTTTTGGGTTTTGGGTTTTGGGTTTAGGGTTTAGGGCTTAGGGTTTAGGGCTTAGGGAAGCCTCAGTCCCACAGATCTTCGAACTCGGGAGCCCCCGAAGCCTGCAAAATGGGGGGACGAGACTCCCAGTTAGCGGAAAAGGTCCCCAAAAGTCTTTATCCTAGTAGTAGAGTAGGTAACCTTTAACCTTTTTGGGGTAGTAGAATCCCCTTGTAATCCCAAAGGTTAAGCTTGAATTCCCCCAGGTTACTGGACAACTAGGTTATCGGAGCCTTCTTCCTCAAAACGGGGCGTTCTGTGGGCATGAGAATTGCTCTTTCGCTCTTTGCGCTGGGCCAATGCTGGGGGGCTTGATAAGCTTTTGCCAGGCATGAAGGGAGTGTTAAGGCCTTTCGAACACTTTGACATCTTTCCATACGTCCTCAGGTTTGGGCAGTCTTGTGTGGCCTTCTATGGGCGTCTCGTTACAAACGCGCGAGAGACCTCATGAAAACCTCAGTGTTGACACAAGGCGGAACGCCTCACAACTGACAAAGCGTGAGATGCCTCATCAATCTCAATGTAAACTTAACAGCTCGACGCCTCCTGAAGCGGGAGCCCTGCCTAATCTTGGCCCTCAGATCCATCAGCGGACCAGGCCATAGCCTGGTCCTCTAATGCCCCTGCGCCCATGCAATGCCCATGCATATCGTCTCCGGCACTCTTGCAAGCTTGCCACCCCCCCCCCCCCCCCACGTTCGCTCCCCGCCCTTGGGGAACCAAAGGTTTTTTCAGGGCTTGGTGTCGGGGTTTCGCAGTGGCCGAGTCTCTTCACGCCCTGCAGGCTGGTCTCCACAACGCTCTACAACAAGAGCAAGACGCGCATCAGGACAGACATCATTTGAGGTTTGAAATGTGGGGGGGGGGGGGGGGGGTTCCGAAATGAGCGGTACCTTATTGGGGTCCGTACTAGAAGGGAATCCTATTATTTTGGGGGTTTATCTTCGGGCTCCCCTACTTTCGCAAACCCCCACGTATCTCGACTCATACATGCAAGCATGTACCAGGCTTTCCTCTCTCGAAAGGTCTTGCTCCGACAGGCGGAGGAGATGCAGCAGCACGAGCACTGCTAGCTATAGTGTTGTTTACAGCCAACTTTGCGAAGTCAACAGCGCTAAGCGCCTCAATGTTATAGACTACTTAATTCCACACTGTCCCGAATACTATGTATTTGGAAATAGTAGCTGAACTAATCTTGTGGTGCTTTAGTGTAACTTTAGATCCTTAGCCTTTTTGGGTTTATTGGGTTCCTTAATCAGGCAGCTAAGAATTTAATTCATAACTACCCTCCTGAGTGCAGCCAAGTATTTAATATACAGCCGGGTACTTTCAGGCTGGTTGCTTTGGATTGCACATGTCTATAAACAGTGTGACAACCCGACCCGAAGAATGGGTTCAGGGTGTGACATTTGTCATGTGCAGCACCGCACAACCAACATGCATCACCGCCCCTGGAATACTCGCCACTGTTTTGGTGTAGGGTATGGGGTAATTATCAGCATATGGTGTGTAGAAAGAGGGGTCTTGCGTCGGCTTGAACATTCTTCATGATACAGATCTCGGTGGCAAGCCAGCACTTGTAGGACATCCTCGTTCTGCCCGCGGCCACAAGGACTGCGTGATGTGTAGAATCTGGGAAAGTCTGTGGGCACTTATCAAGGGGAACTACGTAAAGGATGTTTTGCCTATTTCAACGCATCTCCGGTTGCGACCCTGTAGTTGCAAGATGCTCGGGAGCTGGTAGACAGTCTTCTCTCCTTTCATCGAGTGTTTGTCCCAGGTTTGTCCTGTGTATGCAACGTGACATGAAACCAACCACGGCTTCCATTTTCGCAGGCTGTCGCCGGCCGCCACCGGGCAAGAAGCCACCACGGATCAGCTGTTGCAGGTTCCATGTTCCCTTCGTATTTCTTGCCATGTGCTTCATTGAGGAAATGCCCTTCATGTTTATGAGTCTATGAGAGTTGGCGAGTATGTGCATGCCTACTTTGGCTTCGTAAACAAGGAGCAAGACCTGAACCGATTCTGTGTTATGTTCCAGCGTTCGTATAAACTGCATACAGCATAATACCTGGCTTGGCACACAGGGCTTTTCCTGCGCCTTTCGGGCATGCTGCTTGATTCCGGAATCCTAAACAAGTCACACCCAACTACCCCTTGCCCAAAGAAATGCCCAAATAGCCCTAACTTTCATCGTTACACGGCATCGATGAAGCTTTATGCGGTTTAGGGTTTACAGGATTTATAGGGCTTGGGGTTTAGGATGCGGGACCGGACACATGAAGAGATGTTCGCACTGGTTGTGTAGCCACAAGATTCGCCGTGTGGAGTTGTTTTGGGTTTTAGGGCTTGAAGCTGTTGAGCTTCGAATCTCCTGCTACAGCTTCCTGAAAGGGAGGAGACCATGGAGCCCAGAGGAGCGACAGCTGAGACCCTAAACCCTCAACCCTCAACCCTCAGCTCTAAACCCTAAACCCTAAGCTCATTGAGTTGCAGAGCGACGATTTGAGGTTTGCGACATGTAGGGCCGTAGGGCAAGTATGGAACCCAACTCCTAGATCTGAAGAGGCCTTCGGCCTGCTTCGAGATTTTCACTTTCGCTGGCTTCTGGTGACGAGGACAAACTGCGCAGCCCAAGATTCGGTTTTAGGGTTTAGGGTTTAGGGTTTAGGGTTTAGGGTTTAGGGTTTAGGGTTTAGGGTTTAGGGTTTAGTTTAGGGTTAGCAAGAGACATGTGCCCACATTGATCTGCGTACACCCGCATCCACACCTCATCGCACCTGTCCCTGAGTCTACGCCCTCGATTCATTCGTGGATGCAGTGGACCCAATATAGACCCAAAATAGTAGGATTCACTTATAATAAGCATCCCAATAAGGTACCCCCCCCCCCCCAATCATCGCAAACCCTAAACCCTAAAGGCCCTAAACCCTAAACCGTATATATATATATATATATATCGTAAACCCCCACATGTGCATGCGAACTGTCCCCCAAACCATCCGAAGGCATGACGTCTTCGTCCGCCCAGAGGGGTTTCTTGACGAGCTCCAGCGGTTGGAGCCGGCAGGAAGGAAGGCCCCCCGGTGGGATCCGTTTAGGGTTTAGGGTTTAGGGTTTAGGGTTTAGGGTTTAGGGTTTAGGGTTTAGGGTTTAGGGTTTAGGGTTTAGGGTTTAGGGATGTCGGACATGCACGTGCAAGAGTGCAAAGGGTGCGGGTTGAGGCCCCCAGGGCTCGCTTATAGCTCCCAAAGCCATTGGCAATCAGGGTCTCTGAAGCCCAAGATGTAGCAGATGTTGTCGAAGGAAAACATGCATGAAGCTGAGTGTCGTTAAAGCTTGGGTTCTCCTACTACCCCCTCTCTGTACTAACCCCCCTAGGTTCCCCCCATAACTAAGGGCTAATTGATAAAACACCCAAGCCACAGGCACCAAGACCTACTACTTCTCTGAACCCTGCTATCGTGAAAGCTTGAAGCCCTACGCCTCGAAGCACACGAAGCCCCGAACCCTACGGCAACAGCGAAAGCCTTCACGGCCTTTGGCATCTCAAAACAAGCCTGGGCCCTAGGCCCTAAACCCTACACCCTACACCCTGAACCCTGAACCCTGAACCCTGAACCCTGAACCCTAAACCCTAAACCCTAAACCCTAAACCCTAAACCCTAAACCCTAAACCCTAAACCCTAAACCCTAAACCCTAAACCCTAAACCCTAAACCGAAACCCTAAACCCTAAACCACCCAAAGCAGAAGCCTGTGTGCTGCGTGAGGTGTTGGGATCTTGGCAGCCTCAGCAGCGCAGCTGGAGGCCGAATATCCGGGCCTCAGAAGAAACGAATATAGGGTTTAGGGTTTAGGGTTTAGGCTTTAGGGTTTAGGGTTTAGGGTTTAGGGTTTAGGGTGTGCATAGTTTGAAGGGTTTTATTCATGTTTTCGTGGGCATCCACTCCAATCTAAACGCACATAACTTACATTCAGGGTTCGACTAGGTGAAGCACCCGAAAACTTGAATCTCATGCACAGGACCCCTTGTAAACCCAGAGACCTCGCAAGCCTAAAGCCACAAAGTCCACACCAGGATGGGCTATAAGGCCCTATAATCCCCAGAATCAACCCTATACAGGGAGGGCCTTTTTTAAGGGGTTAGAGGGTGTCCTGGCAGGCTTGACCCCCACTTCTTCATCTTGCCTCGGGATGTCTTTGCGCTCATTTCGGTGCATGGCTCAGAGGAACCTGCAATGACGACGAAGGTTACGCGGGCTTCGTGAAGGCTTGAAGCCGAAGAATCGAAAGCGTTCCCTTTTTAGCAGGAAGATTCGCATCTTTGGGTCAATGTCGAATTGGTTTTGGACAACCGTTTGCTGTAGCAAGTGGGCCCTTGTGCATGGGCAAGCCCTAAACTAAACTATAAACCCAAACCCTAAACCCTAAAGGCTCTGGGATGATTGCAGTCGAGAAAGTTTTACGACCAAACCTCGCGAGGTCCTTGCACAACTTCGCGTGGGCCTACTGAATAATTAGAATAGGGTCTTGGGGGGCTAGTAGAACTATAAAGGGACCCTAAGGGAATACTATGAGTACTTCTGACCCTCAACTTCACCATTCTGCCGAAGTAATGCCTGGACCCTGTTTCACCCTGAACCCTAAAGCTTTAACCCTAAACCCTAAACCCTAAACCCTAAACCCTAAACCCTAAACCCTAAACCCTAAACCCTAAACCCCAAGGCTCCCGAAGTAATCTCGCGACTTGCAGCCCACGGACCTCACAGCGCCGCGGTGCTCAGCAGGGCTCCAAATCCTGAGCCTTTTCTTTAAGGGCGAGGGGTGGGGATTTAGGGTTTAGGGTTTAGGGTTTAGGGTTTAGGGTTTAGGGTTTAGGGTTTAGGGTTTAGGGTTTAGGGTTTAGGGTTTAGGGTTTAGGGTTTAGGATTTACGGTTTAGGGTTTAGGGTTTAGGGTTTAGGGTTGAGGCGTTTGTTTTAGGGCTTCCGGCCTGGGCTTCGGGTATTTGCGCTCGCCATTGGGCCACAAGGGAGTGTGCACTTGCACTTTGAGCTTGGGCTTAGGGGCTGTGGGTTCTGACGCCTCGTTCTTTTTCGCCTTAAAGTCTAAGCCGTCTGGTGTCTAGGCCTTAGGGTTCTGGGTGGGCTCCTTCTCATGAAGCATCAGGAACAAGGATTCCGCCCCTGCCTCGACCCTATAGAGCCCAACACCGAAACCCAAAGCTCTGAAAGCCCTCCAGCCTCCTCCAAACACCCTGTCCTGCACTAGCAGGTGTTCGGTGATCTGTCGGGGCTTGCAGCAGGCCATGTAGGGCTAGGGCCCCGAGGCTTTCCAGGGCGTGTGAGCCCCAACTCAGCCGCAAAACCAGCTTGAGTTGAGGGGTTCAGCAGCCCCAAAACCCTTTAAAACGAGTTCACTCGGGACTGGGACTCTTAGGGCCTCGGACCGATTTCATCGACTTCATATCATGTCATTTTGGCTGTGCGTCGTTGAGCTCATCGAGAGCTGTTCAGGCTTAGGCTAGATTTGTGTTGGTATGTGTTCACGCTTAGTTCTACAAACCCAGGTGAACCCTGACTGATGCTTAAAACCCCTTAGCTCCCAACACCATTGGTCCCGTAGGCCCTTGGGATATTGCATGTTTTCCATTATTGGGTTGCAGAGGATCATATTTAGGATTATTTTTCATGCCCCCGCGGAACTCTGACTACCCTAAACCCTAAATCCTAAACCATAAACCCTAAATCCTTGAAAGGCGTCAGCGCATGGATGCATGCCTTCGATGTCGAGCGGCGGCAGCTGCCCGGGACCCTAAACCCTAAACCCCAAACCCTAAAGGGTTAGGGTTTCGTGGTTGCGGGCCGGTTCCAGGACTTAAAACGGCGGATCCCGAAACCCGCTAGCCGCGCCTAAGCACTGAACCTTAAACCCTAAACCCTAAACCCTAAACCCGGTCTTTGCTTAGGCAGGGCGCTCATGCTCGGAAAGATCCCGCGCTGGCCCGTGGCTAAGTCGCTCCTCCTTGCGCGCTCTTTTCCGAACCACTTTTGTCACGGGGTCGTTTCTTTGTGGTGCTTTAGTGTAACTTTAGATCCTTAGCCTTTTTGGGTTTATTGGGTTCCTCTATCAGTCAGCTAAATATATATTTTTAATTCATAGCTACCCTCCTAAGTGCAGCCAAGGTTTTGTTATAATTTCTAGGCATCCTTGGGACTGCTTCAAGCTCTCGGCTTTCGGGAGATCGTCAGGCCTGTAGGCTTCCCGAAAATTCGGGGTTGAGGGTCTAGGGTCTGCTAAACCCTAAACCCTAAACCCTAAACCCTAAACCCTAAACCCTAAACCCTAAACCCTAAACCCTAAACCCTAAACCAGCCTAAACCCTTGGTTCAGGCTATGCAAGCAAGGAGCTTAGAGTTGAGGAGAACTTCACACCGAGCACCTTAAGGCCCCCTGAGGCCCCCGAATATGGGTACTTCCCAAGATAGGGGTACCCCTTATATACCCCGAAGTAGTATAAGCCTTTTTATAGGAACCCCCCAAAAGGGTAAACCCCTATTTTGGGAAACCCGAAACCCTAAACCCTAAACCCTAAACCCTAAACCCTAAACCGTTTGGGAAACCCTCATAGACCCGAGGTCTGTCAGGTCGACACGGTCACCTTGCACCCAGTGAGTCCAGAAGAGCTGGCAGCCTCAGCAGCCTCAGGTTTAGGGTTTAGGGTTTAGGGTTTAGGGTTTAGGGTTTAGGGTTTAGGGTTTAGGGTTTAGGGTTTAGGGTTTAGGGTTTAGGGTTTAGGGATCAACGAGAAGGGGCTGTTGTCTGGGTCCTTTTTGGTTGTAATTCTACATGTTGCCATACTATAATATTCCCAGTAAGGAATTGAAATTTTTATTCTTGAATGTAACCCCGTAACCCCCACAAGGAAGCAGTTGTCAGAGGATGTCAGAGGTTCCAGGGTTTTTTGGGGCTTGGCTCAGAGAAGAGGTCCAGTTCGGGATTTGGGTTCCACTTTCTCTGATTCGGTGTTCGGGAACATATTCGACAGGGTCTTGGGCTAGCATTAGATTCGCAATGTTATGCAGACAGCGTTGCCCTGAAGGCCTGTAGGTCACGCAAAGTCAGCTCAATAGCGAGGTTCGGGAGTTGCGGCGTGCGTCTTCAAGGTTTTACATCGCAATGTCGTCAAGCACGCGTTTTCAGAAGGGAAGTCATTGAACTCTGCGCAACCCGCCTCGACCGGGCTAGGGGTACGAGGGGGACAGGGTTCGATGGGCTTTCTCACAGTGTGCAAAATCATTGCATGAAAGCTGTTGGGCGGGGGGAGGGGGGTGGGGGGGTAGGGAAGAGGCGCGCACCACCTGCACGTTTCGTCCTACGGAACGGTGCCTCAAAAAGTGCATGGGAACTTTATGTGGGAGCGCGATTTCGAGTACGTGCACGGGGCCTAGGTGAGAGGTGCGATTGTAGTCCCCGAGCACGTGCTAAGACGTCCCAGGCACCTTTCTTTTGACGTTGGAGCAGCAAGCAACACACAACAAGGAATGCACAACAAACAGCAATGCCCAGCAACACACACACACACCTCTTACACCTCACGACACACAACAAAACAAACAACACGAGCAAGCAAACAACCAACCAACAACACAGCAAGCAACAAACAACAACGACACTCGACAACGACAAGGACAGCAAGCAACCAACCAACCATCAACCAACAACCAAGAAGAAGCCAAGCACCAACCAACCAACAACCAGCCAACCAACAACCAACCGACAGGGGAAGCAACAATCACAACCACAACCACAACCACAAACAATCCATCAACCACGACAACCACAGCAACCACCACAGCCACCCCAGCCAACCAACTACCACCAGCTACCATCAACAACACAACAGCAGCCGGCCGACAGCAGCCACCAGTATCGGCAACATCGTCACCATCATCATCATCATCGTCATCATCGTCATTGTCATCGTCATCGTAAGAACCTTCACTATGCCCATGCCACCGTTGCCGTGCTGCTTCCTTTGCAGTTCAGAGACATCTTGAGCGATCGAAGGGATGAGAAGTCTAGTGTTCATGCTGTGCACACGACATCCACAGTTCATCATAACTATGCACTTCGCAATTATGGGAAACCCCCGGCCCTTCCTCATCACAACGTTCCAAGCCATAGCTTGCCAAAGCTTCTTCAACACTCAGCTCTTCCTCGAGGTTAATAGTCAGACCAGAACGCTTGCACCCCCAACCAACCCCACACCCCAAACCGCGCGAAGCCCAGAGTGCCAAAGGCTGCAAGCCCTCAGCCACTCTCCGTCATCGTTCCAGCCCTGGCCTCGGACCTTCTACTGTACCCTGAAAGAATTACGATGTTTGGCGTCAGGTTCAGGAGTGTGTGGTACAGAGGCACAGTACCTTAGCTGCGGCTGTATGAGGCGCTTGTGTTGCTATAGATATGGAAAGAACGTCGGTGACAGTGTCCGAAACTCGCTCGGACTCAGCGCGCGGAAGGTCGCGAAAGCTGAAACTTAAAGCCCAGCGCCGTACCGGGCCACAGGTTTAGCTTGAAACCTGCTGAAGTGCTATTCTCATGCCAGTCCAAGTTCAGTGGTCCAGTGTTTGAGGGTTTGGTGCGTTGCGCTTTGATCGAACTATCCTGCAACAACTCGAGTTGAGGAGCTTTAGGGTTTTGAAGAACTAAGCCCGAAACCCTAAACCCCAAGATCTTCGAACAGCGATGTGGAAATTGAGAAAGTTTCTGCGGCCCCTTTTGCAGGTGCTGAAGCGCTGGATGCTGCAAGCGAGCACTGGGATCGATTTCGCCAAAGCGCAGGCCGGCTGGCGTCGCGAGTTTTTCGGTATGTCAGGGGTTAGGGTGCGACGCTCATCAAAAGCATGTTACTAGGTAGGCCCTTGGGACATACATATTTCCCTGTACTGGATTCAAGAGGATCATATTGAGGAATATTTTCTGAGAGGGCTTTAAGGGCAATCCTTAGGTTGTGTGCTGCAGCAGAGAACATCGGAAAGTGAGCCGACAAGCCCCGCAAAACTTGTCCCGTTCCACTTTCGATTCATCCCTGGACGGGTTCGTATTGGGATCGACTTTGCTTTTTGTATTATTCATTTTGGGGGCTCGGGTTGGGTGGTTACGGCTTGCAGACTTTGTTTCTGCAAGCAGCAGGGTCGGAAGTAATTAGCAGCATGTGGAGTCATGTTGATGTCACCTTCTGCTTTTGCTCAAGCTGTCGCTAGGCATAAGGATGCTTGCTGCTTCATCGGGATTTTTCTAAGTTCGTCGTTCAGAACGCCGCACTGATGCGTGTGTACTGGATTTTGGCTGAGGGTCTGGGTTGCGCCGAAGTTGATCTTGCTGCCATGGCGGGACCCCTGCGACGTTTCGAGCCCCTCGTGCACTTGCTGCGTATCTTGGCAGCCTTAGCTGCAGCTCCTCGGATCCTGAACCTTTTTTTCCCAGCTTGGGCTTAGAACCCTAAACCCTAAACTGTAAACTCTAAACCCTAAACCCTAAACCCTAAACCCTAAACCCTAAACCCTAAACCCTAAACCCTAAACCCTAAACCCTAAACCCTAAACCCTAAACCCTTAGCATTAAAATTAGTTAGATGCCTGAAGGTTCAGGACGTTGAGAACATGCTGCTGCAGCTTCCGATCCTGAACTCCGAGCCATGGATCCCCCCAAAATCCACAAACCAATTATCTCGGACCCAGAGTAGGCCCTGATTCACTTTTTTTTAGGGGTTTAGGTTCCCTTCTAACCCCCATTAAACCAAAAAAGGCACCCTGTTTGTTCCTAGGTTACTCCTGCTTGAACCCTAAACCCTGAACCCTGAACCCTGAACCCTGAACCCTAAACCCTAAACCCTAAACCCTAAACCTTACGAAGGCAAAGGAGCACCATGGGCTGCCGGCGCCGGTCTTCGCCCTCGGGCCATGGCCACGGCTGGTTTAACCCGAGCACAACAGGTGGAAGGCCCTTTAGGGCTTGTGGGGTTATGGGCTTAGAGCTTCATGCCTCTCAGCAGTTGACAGCAAGGTCTTGTAGGCAACTTGTAGGCGTGGAGTGTACTGTGCTTGCAACAGGCCAGGCGAATCAGAAAGACTACTATGACCAGTCATTCCACTACGATCTGATCTTCAAAAGTGCCTCGAGCCCACAAGACGGCACGAAATGTTGCAGCCAGACTTTGTGTCGAGCTTCTCCTGCATGTAAGGTGACAATATTCGGTTGGGCTACTTCCCGCACCTCTCACCAGGCATGGGTCTCAGAGAGGTGTTGGCTTCAGTGCAGCTCAAGGAAGCGTGTGCTGAGCATGCTGCAACGGTCTTGCGGGGAGGATTGAGCTATGACGCGATCTGCACAGCCTATGGTCGTACTGTAAGGCAGCACGAGCTCTCAAGAGCTCAACATCACCGAGAGCGGATATGCGCTGACGGACCACATGTTGACCAAGCCTCAGCTTGGCGTGCCGACTTCCTAGGAATCCTCGGATTCCAAGGAATCCCAGGATTCCTAGGAGTCCTGGGATTCCTAGGTGTAGGATTCCTAGGATGCTGTGTGTCCTGACAAAAACAAGGACACTGATGAAGCTGACACCCCAGTCGCGGGTCCTGGACATGGGATGCGGCAAGGGCCAGGCGTGTGTGGATGTGGCTGCTTGCATGCACCTCAGGGTTTAGGGTTTTGGGGTTTAGGGTTTTGGGGTTTGGGGGTTTAGGGTTTTGGGGTTTAGGGTTTAGGGTTTAGGGTTTAGGGAGGGCGCCGAGTAGAGATCGGTGGTTGCGGCGGCATCCGCAACTACGTGAGAACCCTGCCCCACGACCTCTCAGTGCGCGGGCGGCACGTTCTGACTCTAGGAGTGAGTGTTGAACTCAGATCATGGCTTGGTGATGTCCAGCGCGCAGGCCATGGCTTGACACGGATAGTCTGGGATGGCGCCCCTGACACTAGCAGACGAACAGTCCTTGATTGGCATTAGACTAGGGGGTACTATAATCTCTACCAAGGACGGCTAGTATAAGGGGGAACATCCCAAGTTAGCGGCCCTAAACCCTAAACCCTAAACCCCAAACCCTAAACCCTAATTAAACCCTAAACCCTAAACCCCAAACCCTAAACCCTAATTAAACCCTAAACCCTAAAGCCTACACAAGAGGTACTGCCTAGTGTGAGGGCTCTCATTTCCGACACGCGAGCCTCGGGCTTCATATTGATTTAGGCACAAAACCGACTCGAGGGTTGGGGATTTAGGGTTTAGGGTTTAGGGTTTAGGGTTTAGGG